AAATATGAGTTTAAGAGAGTGGTGTGTCAGTTACAGCCAGAAGTGATACCTGTGCTTTGTCACCGTCATGCACACCTGTAACCTCTCGGTTGTCTATGCTCCAGATAAGCGGCCTGGCTGGGCGGAGAGCTATATTTGTATTTCTTATGTCTTTGCCACAAGATACAGAAAGAAAGGTTTATTTTGGCTCATGGTTTCAGAAGAATCCAGTCCTTCGTGGACAGGGAAAGGCAAATAGACTTGCAGCAGTGTGAGCTTGTGGTAGAGGCTCCTCATGTCACGACAGCCCGTGAAGCAGAGAGAACAAGGCAGGAACCAGGTATAAACTGGTGTGCATGCCAGACACCCACCCTATGTTTCCACCAGCCAGGTCCTACTTCCCAAAGGCTCCAAATCTTCCCCAAATAATACCACCAGGTGGGAAACAAATGCTCAAAACCTAAGCCTGTGAGAGACGCTTTAGATTCTAACTATAATATCCCATCCTGGCTGCTGAAGGCTCATGGCTTGTAATACAGAGTTGTATATATTCCAACTTCAGGAGGCCTCCTAGTCTCAACATTGATCAAAAGTCTAAATCTAAAGTCTCTACCGAGGCTTAAAATAATCTCTTAGCTGTGACCTGTAAAGTAGGAAGAATATCAAGTTTGAACCAAAGCAGGACTAACAGCAGGGAAAACATTAAACCTTGTAGCTCCGTGTCCTGAATCTGGGGCACATCGTTTGGTCTCACTAGCAAGCATTCCTTAGAAACGTAGGCGCAAGACCTTCAAACTCTTGCATTCCATACACTGAAAACTAGCACCCAGTGGATAATTCCAAAGTCCGATGCCCGCTAGGACCTTTTAGGTCATAGCCGCCTCGGCCCAAGTACTGGAGTAACCAAACCTGGAACGAAGAGAAACTTTTCCCTAGGTGGCCCTCTTCTACTGCGGCTCTCCGGTGACTCTTTTCAAAAGTCAGTCTCCTTTTGAAGGAAAATACTTCAAGTGAGTCTTCAGTTTTACATCCTGGGCGGGGACTCACTCTGAGGTCATCTGTCCTGTGGCAGATATGTAGCTTCTTATTGATGCCGCGACGTTAACGTCAGTGGCCTGCCTTGCCCATCCTCCCCTTATCCATAGCTTTAAACATCTTCACCTTCCTTTCAGGACCAAATCCCAATTTTAAAAACTCTTCTCTGCTTTTTTTGCTCCTGATTCTCACTATAAACCTAGCTCAAAGCAGCCAGAACTATCCCACAGGCTGAGTGCTAAGCTGTTTTGCGTTTTCTCCGTTGCCTGTGAAAGCCACATGGAATTTTCAGCACACGGGTAGAATGCAAACAAATTCTTCATCAGACACAAGTGGCCTCTGTAGACCAGTTCCCAGTCAAGTCCTTGTCCCTACCTAAGACCGCAAGAGTCTTCTTTGCTGTCCATATTGTATTGTCAGCCTTCCGATCCTCCAAGTTCTCAGCAGAGTGACAAGTCTCTGGCAAGCCAGTTTCAAGGGCAGATAAACCACGTGGTAGGATTAGTTACAGTAATGGTGCCACTTCCCTAGGGCCAATTCTGCCCTTGTTACTCTTGCATTGCTCCGACAGAAACAGCTTGAAGGAAGAAAGATTCATTCTGGCTCCTGGTTTTCCAATGGCTTTCAGTCCATGCCAGCCGTAGCAGCATGCAGTAGAGGCACCTGATGTCACTGAGGCAGCTCAGGAAGGAGGGAGGGCAGACACTGTGTATAACCTTCCCAGGCCACCCCTCCCCAACTACTTCCACCAGGTATGCCCCATTCCGAAAGTCCTGCACCCTTCCGAGCTAACACCACCAGCTAACACCACCTGCATTCAAAACGCAGGCCTCTGGGACATTTCAGATTGACGTCCTAACAAGTGGCCAGAACAGGCCTTAGGGAGCGACAGCTACCAGGTGAAGGATTGCACTTAAGTAGTAGCTCGAAGACCAGACAGGTGGGAGAAAGCTGGGGGAGTAGGAAGTGGTCCCTCTCAGTATTGGTTTTCTCATTATCTTCTCTTTGGTCAGACTACGTTGAGGCTGAATAGAGATGTAGGATGTAGTTCAGTGAGTGTTTTGATGATGGAAGCCACTGGGCTATGCACGGCTGTGGCTTGATCCAGTGGCGTGATCCTTGTCATAATATCTGATGACCCCTCCCCGCTCCACAGCAGTGAGGTGTCTGTCTTATGTGCACACAAGGGGGAAAAGGGTTGTCACCGTCACAGTTATTATCCGTAACATCCTTGTCGCCACCCAGGTGCCGACCTTTGGGGATATGATTGTCCATGGTCCTTCACTCTGTTGATTAAGGTTAGTTACGCTGTGTTGGCAGAAGTGACTTGAACAAAACAGAAGATGGACTCTCTCATGCAGCAAGAATAAGTGTGTGCAGGCCAGTGCTGCTGAGGTAACTCTGCACAGGTCAGGCTCTGTCAAGCAGTCACCCTTCCTTCCCCGTCATACCCACCTGGGTGAGCCGTTGTCACTCACCGCAGCATCTGCATTCCAAGCAGTGGGAAAGAGGGTGGGTGGGATCGCACTAACCCACCAAGGACTCATCACAGACTCATCAGTTTCTCATCCTTTGATCAGAATGTAGCCACCCTGCAGCCATGGGAAACATGGCCTGTGACAGGGACAGCCACCAGCTCAGCTATGCATTTCTCTATCTCTGTATTAGGGGAATGCTGGCAGCCCCCACCTCTGATCTGGAGCCTAGGCATCTGGTTTCGGTTCAGGGTCACTACAGTTTGGTGCCTTGAAAGGATCCTGCGGCACATGGAGAAGTGGAAATTCCTGCGCACTTGGCACATTCCTTCAGGTTCCGAGTGGACACGGAGTTGTCGGTCCACTCACTGATGAAAGAAAATGTGTGGCCACTTGGGAACAAGGCCCTGTGTGCAAGTGTTCATCGGTTTTAGATTTGCTTCCCATGACTGTGCCTGGCAGGACACTGCATAGCCGGGCTAGTGATGGCAAGATTTCAGCATGGATTTTTCCCAGCTTCGCACTGACTGGTGAAGTCGTGAGGCATGTCCTCCAGCTTACCCAGTCTTGCCATTTTTTCCCCACACCCACAACTGGATTGGGTTGTGTCTTGTCTTTCGTGCCCACAGTCAGGACCAGATTGGGTGGGGTCTACCATATGGGTGTAGCTTTTGAGCTGTGAGTTGCACATTCATTCTAGAATGAGGTGGCATCTGATACTTTACTGTGACCAAATACCTGGGAAGTGGCAACTTAAGGAAGGAAAAACTTATTTGGGGTCACAGTTTGAGAAGGGCTTGCAGTCACCATGGCAAAGATGGGTGGCAGGAACCCGGAAGCAGGAGCTGATGCAGAGCCGCTGGAGGATGCTGGCTTGCTCCTCATGACTTGCTCAACCTCCACCTAGGATCACATGCCCAGGGGGTGGCCCCACCCACAATGGGCTGGGATTTCCCACATCAGCCGTTAATCAAGAAAAAGTATCCCGAAGACATTTCCACAGGCCAGGCGAGACTAATCTGATGGAGCCAATTGAGATTCCCTCTAGTTTTCTAGTTCATATCAAGTTGACAAACAAACAAAAAACCCTAACCAGTCCGTAGGGGGAAAGGGAGAGGGAGAGGAGGGGGGAGGGAGGAAAGGGCACATGGTGCTTCCTCTCTGTTCCTCCTTTTCCTTCAGTCTGGGACCCCAGCCCAGCCCAGCCATGGGTGGTGCTCCCATTCAGGGCGGATCTTCCTGCTCAGATAACCTTCTCTTGGAAATGCTCTCACAGACAGCTCAAAGGTGTGTCCCCTAGGTGATTCTAAATCAAGGTGACCGAGATCCCTGTATTTACAGGTGTGTCTTCTGCATTCACTGCAGGGTTTCACAACCTTTGCTTTCAAAGATTTTTTTTTCTTTTTTTTTAAATAAAGACTCAGGGGTAGCTCAGGTTGGCTTCAGACTCATGTTCCTCCTTCCTCTATCTCCAAAGAGCTGGGATTACAGATGTGGCCCATCACGTGTGGCTGGCTCAAGGATATTTTTTTCTTCTAAATTTGTAACGGTTAGCTGTCTATTATTAAAGATATAAAAATATGTAATGGGGGAGCAAAAAATTACCCAAGATGCAACTGTTCACTCAGATGCCAGCGTACAACATACTCTCTTCATCTCAGCATCCGAGAAAATATGAAACCATCTATCTCCTTCCTTTAATCAAGGTGGCATCTTGCTGCCCACCGTGCTTGATACTGAGCCTATTCACTGGGGTGAAGGTTCCTCCAAAGCTGTGTGTATTTTATGAGGTGACTCCAGGCCCAGGGTGGAACATACTGCTGATGTTATGTTCTGACTGTCTGACTGTCTGAGGCTTCGTTACTACTCAGTGCTGTTAGCTCCATTTCACAAGGACAGTATCTTAGAGACACAGGATGCAGGTAAGGACCAGAGAGGTGGGGTTGCCCACTAGGACAGAAGAGGCCTCGGGTGGCACAAGGTATGAGTGGCAGCCCTTGACTTGGCGGCATGGGGAGCAAAGAACTGGCTGGGTTTTCTGTCAGACACTGTTGTGGTTGGGGCTCAGTACCCCCACCCGAGGCGGGACACGCTGCTCTCCATTCAGTGCAGTGGCGAGTTCCGCCCATGCAAACCCTCCCGATAGCAACGATGAACCCAAGTCCAAGTTTAGGAGAGAGGTTGTGGGAGCTGGGGGGTGCTTGAGGCAGCAGGAAGCTCTATTTGGTGGGCTGCTCCTGGGAAGCCTCTCTCTTCCATGCCCCGTGCCCTCTCGCCCTTCCTGAAACATTTTTCCCTCCCTCTGCATAGAATATTCTTCTCTGAAAACAGAAACAAAAACCTATCCTCACCCATAGTTTGCTCAGGCTCCCTCCTAGGAAAAGGGTGTCTGTGGCCAGTGGAGGGGCTTGCGTGGGTGCCCTTCTGCTGTCTGTACCACGCCCTGGGGTCCCTGGGCTTTTGGCTCCTTTGTATGAGTCCATTTGACCTCCCTGTGCTGTTCTTTAACAGGCAACCATCGGGATTGACTTCTTGTCAAAAACCATGTACTTGGAAGACCGTACGGTAAGTCCCTGGTCTCCGTCCCGGGAAAAACAAAGGGGGCATTGTCAGATTTAGCCAACAGAGCCCCCAGCTGGGCATTCTTGGACATCTCTGCCAAGACTGGGATGGACCTGGCAGTGCCAGCATCATGGGGTCTGGGTCTCCAGCCCCCTCTCCGAGGAGAGCGCCACCACTCCACTGACGCCTCTGCCTTGACATTGTAGGTTAGACTGCAGCTCTGGGATACAGCCGGGCAAGAGAGGTTCCGCAGCCTGATCCCCAGCTACATCCGGGACTCCACAGTGGCTGTTGTGGTGTATGACATCACTAGTGAGTAGGGGGTCTATGTTGGCGTGAGGGAGCTCTTGGGGTCCAATGTGACTCGGACCAGACCTGTGTGTACGTGAGTGTGTGTATATGTGCGTGCGTACGTGCGTGTGTGTTCATGTGCTCAGTGTGGGGGTGGTGAGTTACCTTTTCCACTAGTGAGTTCACTGTCCTTCAAACTCCTATGGCAGGCACGGCTGAACAACACAGGGTCCCTCGTGTGGGGGAGGCAGGTGCTCACAAGGTTAACCCTCTGTGCCCTCCATGGCCCTGGCTGTCATATGTACCAGTTCTCCGCAGGGATCCCTAGAGGCAGCTCTTCTTGCACACGTGGGTCTTGAGAGGGCTTCACAGGCTCATTGGGGGCCCAGAGGTTGGGGCAGGCCTTATACAGAGGCTGGCTTCAGTCATGGAGGATGCTGTGAGGAGCCTGACATCACAAGGGGAAGGGGAATTCCTGGCCCACGGCTCCAGCCTGCCGCGTCAGGTCTGCCTTCCCCCTGCGTCTCCCTAACTGCAGGCTCTATGTACACAGGTGGGAGCTAAAGGACCTGTGTCACTGGCTGTGGAGAACAGCCACCTCCCTTCCTCCAGGTGCTGAGCTTGGGTGTCACCCTGTGACTCTTCTGAGGGAGATGCTGCTGCCCTTAGATGACTTGCTTCTGGATTCATGCGCCTCTGGGGTGGACTTCCTCCCACCTCTCCCCGCAGGGTTGAAGGTTCTCTTCCCAAGCCAACTGGGCCCGGGATGCTCAGATTCCCTTGAGCATCCCGTGGAGAGACAGCATCTCCTAGGAGAGACAGCTGTGTCCTCCGCTCTGGTCCACAGCTTAGCCAGGCCCCACACCTTCATTTCCACCCTCTGCTTGGGCCTCACATCACCTCTGACTCTTGTGTGGCCTCTAGAGTCACTGTTGTGTAGAAATGGTAACAGGACAGCCTAGCTTCCCAGATATGGTGACTTCTCTCCCTCCGGTGACTGAGCAGTGTTGCAGGCTCTCCAGGGTCACAGCAGACCCTGCTTCCCTGTATAGCCCCGGCCTAATTAGAATGTGGAGATTGGGCTTGTGTCTAGGCACCCGCTTGCCTCTGGGACCGCTCATTCTCACTCTGTCCCCACTTCCTGCTTCTAGATCTCAACTCCTTCCAGCAGACTTCTAAGTGGATCGATGATGTCCGGACAGAGAGGGGCAGTGACGTGATCATCATGCTTGTGGGCAACAAGACGGATCTGGCTGACAAGAGGTAGGCGCTACACAATGGAGGTGCTGTGGCTTGCGGGATCATGCTTCCTCACCTGTCCGTGGCCCAGGAGGTCTGAGGTGAAGAGAACGGCAAGGCTTGCCTCCACACACAGGAACACTGACATGGCCTTTAGACCCCACACACCGCAAGCCTCTCATCTCAAAGTTCCGTCTTCCTCAGCCCCACAAAGGCAGGGTGAGACCGGGACCTGTTGCACAGATGTTCCCATTACAGTCCCAAAATAGCCTCTGACACATTGGCCCCCTGGGCTGGAGCTCCTGTCCCCATTAAAGCCCTGCACTAACGTGGGACCTGAAACCCAGGTACTCAGGAATGAGTCTGTGGCGTGTCAGCAGAACACAGACCTTGTCCCCAGTCCGCATCCTGGTTTATCCTGTGTCTGGGCGTGGAGTGTTACCAGAAGAGGCTTCTCCATAGCTGCTCTCCAATGTCCCTGCTCACTAAAGTGTCCTTTCCATTGGTGTCCACTCTCAGAACTCTGTGCTAACTTGGATAGATACGGCCGTGTGTCATGATTTCTGACATAGCACATGGGTTTCTTACAGTGCCCCTGTCCATTTAAGACATAATCTGAGTCAGGGATGAGAGTCCTGCCCAGAGGGGAAGGAAATTGGCTCCTCTGCAGAGCTGTGGGCCTGGGAGCTGGGGGGGTTACTTTTAGTTTTGGTGTTTGCATTAGGAAAGGGACACTGATGATTCCTCCCAAGAAAGGCTGTGAGTGTCCAGGAGCTCCAGTTCTAATGGCTTCAGAGGAAGGCTGTGGGATGTGGCTCAGCTGTAGAGCGCCTGTCTTCCCTGCATGAAAGCCCTGGGTACAATCCCCAGCACCAAAACCAGGCTTGGTGCAATACACCCACAGGAGGATCAGAAGTTCAGTGTCATTCTTTGCTACCTCACTAATTCAAGGCCAGCCTGGGCTACCCGTGACCCTTCCTTAAAAGGGGGTGGGGGGGGGACAGCCCCGATCCCTAGTTCAGAAGACATGGAAGAGATATGGAAAGGGGCCAGAAGTTCTCTATGCTCAGGCACCACTTTCTTACCGGACAGACTATGGCTAGAGCTTTGTCAAGGATCCGTGGCCAGCGAGCCTGTCTTCAGGGCTGACCAAGGGACCTGGCAGGCTCCTTCTGTCCGCCCACAGTCCTGCATCTCAGGTTGCCTCCTCGCGTCTGCCAGGGTTGCTTCTCTGCCACCTGACCTGTCCCTCTCCCCGTCATTTCTAGGCAGATAACCATCGAGGAAGGGGAGCAGCGGGCCAAAGAACTGAGCGTTATGTTTATCGAGACCAGCGCGAAGACCGGCTACAACGTGAAGCAGGTGAGGATTCAGCTGGCCAGGTTCCTGGCTTGCTCGGATCTAGAAGCCGTCACCTGGGACCTTCCTTGCCCTGGGTTGGCCAATGACCAGGTCATGGCAGCCAGCTAGTCCATAAACCTATTACTCTGAGCAGTGGGGGATGGCAGTGACTGCCAGGGCTGATAAAGCAGGTACTGTGAGGGCAGCACTCAGCTTGGGAGCCATGCAGACGCCATCAGTCACTGGTCTGCACGGCTGTGATCAGGTGTGGGTCCCTGTAGCAGCTTGTGTGGATGAGGGTCCAGCATGGCTGAAAAAGCTGTGGTTCCTAGCATCTCACTTCAAATGAGAACGCAAGGTATTTAGTCTGATTAACTCGTTGGGTTTATGTCTTGAGCGGGGCCACAAAGGACAACTGAGAAGTGGAGCAAAGAGGTCCCCGTGGCATCTGGGGACCATAGCAGGGAGGAGGAGGTGGAGCCGGGGCTGGAGCAGTCCTGTTCAGCTGGGATCTACAGAACCCGAGTAGTTCATGAGCTGCTCAGGCTCCCTGGGCTTAAGAAAATCCTGTATTGTGACTACTCACTCATCTGTCCCCTGATCCTCAGTGAGGGACAAAGACAGCCAGTCCCGGTCTTAGCAGTGAGTGCGGTGAGTCTCACTGACAGAAACCACAGGTGTCTTCTACTTGCTTCACTGTGTGCCAGGCATCCTGCACATCTGTTACACCCTTGTGGGACTCAGCCTCCCACTAGCTAAGCCTGCTGTTTAATGTGTCCCTAAGGAGACGCAGATGTCACCCATGGCACAGATTTATGATCCTTAAACATTCGGGAAGTTTCATTCAGAACCAAGCGGTTTCCTTTACGGTCTCCAAAACTGACTTTACTTATGAAAGGGAGTCTGCAGGCTTTTGAAAGGGGCCCACGGCCCTAGCTAGGCGAGAATCCCTGTGTTGGAGCATGAGGAGGGCAAGGTGGCAAGGAGGAAGGGTGCCATGGGTGGGGCTTATGGGAGCAGAGGCCTGGCAGGAGGGTGCCTGCAGCACAGGAAGGAGACTCTTGAGCAAGGAGAGCGGCTTGCTGTGGTATCTACTGCGACCCCAGATTTCCCAGGAACATCAGGCAAACCTGGGCACCAGTCGGCCTTTAGGAGATAGTGATGGTTCACTCCATGTTGATAGTGCTGGTGGCCTCAGAGAACAAGGGTGACAGGTAGCTAGAAGGGACAGAGTAGAGGGGACACTTATGGCAACATTAGGGAGACCCACGGCATCTGGAACCCAGTGCCCAATTGGAGGGCTCTCAGCAGCTCCATCCATCCCAGCTCCTTCCCCGTCTCCATGAGTATCAGACTTGAGCCTGAGGTCCTGGAGGTGCTGCCCTTTGGGTCCAGTGGTGTCATGGGAAATGGAAAGAGAGGGCAGCATTAGGCATAGAGCAGGTAGCATCTGCACAGTCCTCCGGGCCAAGGAGAGGCTGGTCCCTTTTCCCATCCTGGAATGATTTGAAATCTGGGCAAGGATTTGGGCAGGGGTTAAATCTGGCTGGTTTTACAAATCACCACAGGCTGTGTAGCAGATAGACAACAGAAAATTATTTCTCCCTGCTCTGAAAGCTGAGGAGTCAGGTTGAAGGTGCTGGTAAACTTAGTGTCTTTCCTATCCCTACCCCCTCAACCATGTTTGACACCTTCTAGCTGTTTCCTCACAGGAAAGGAACTCGAAGGCTTCCTCGGGCTTTTTGTCAAGGCCATAGTCCCAGTCAGGAGGGCTCCTTAAGGCAGAGCGTCTTTAGACAGTTCTGCTGGGAATGAGATTTTAACATATACACTCAGGGTGGGGTGTGTGTGTGGGGGGGGGTGTGACCCAGATGTCCAGGCCAGTCCAGAATCTTCTCTGCTCTGAGCTTCTGCCTGCAGGTGTTACTTTCAAGCTGTTGTCCCTGCCAGCTTCCACCTTCCTGGTCCCCTGCTGTTCTCATGCACACATGGGTTCATGTGAGGTAGACTCTCACATGAACCCATACTCCATGCACTTGCTTCCCGTGGTCTCTTTCTCATATTCATGACATTCACCATACCATATGCACACCTCTTCCCTCATATGCTTACACACACGCACACACATACACACGCACGCACGCACACACACACACATACACACGCGCGCACACACACACACACACACACACACACGCACGCACGCACACTATCTACAAGCAAAATCCTGCACACTACGCATCCACACAAACCCATAGTATCATGGTGGCATTCTCGGGTCCCTCACGGTGGCTGTGGCCCTGGCTACCCAGATCTGGCTGCCCCAGTGTCCCTGAGGAATGTGATTTGTCTTAAATCAGGCCAGAAACTGATTTTCTCCCCTAGTCTCCATGTGAGGGTAATAGACAGAAGCCTACTGAAGGACCTGGGTAATGTCTGCACTAGACAGGTCCTTTGCAGTCACTGTCATGCCCCCTGCTGACTGCCTGTGACCAGCCTGCCTGTGGGAGAAGTCACAGTTTTGCAGTATGTTTGGGCATGTGTGTGTTTGCAACTGCGCGGGCCACAGGTTAACTTCTGGTGTCATTCCTCGGGAGTCGTCTACATTGTATTTTGAGCCAGGGCCTTTCGTTTTATCTGGAGTGCTCCAGTTCAGCTAGGGTGTCAGGGAGTGAGCCCTTGGGAACCTACCTGTCTCTGCCACCCCGGCACTGGGATTACAAAGTGTGTGCCACTGTCCCCGGCTTTTAAAGTGGTTTCTGGGGATTGAAGTCGGGGCCTCATGCTTGTGTGGCAAACACTTTATTAGCTGGGCTGTCTCCCTAACCCCGTCCCCTCTCCCTGCAAACACCCTAAGTCCTTCCAGGACTAGCATGGTGAGGGACTATGGTGACAGCAAAGGGCTCAGAACAAGCCTGCACTGCGGGGCACACAGTCAGCGGACAGACTGGGAATTAATGCCTAAGATCCATACACACGAGGAAAGGAGGAGAGGAGAGCCGGAGAGGGGAGGAGAGGGGAGGAGCGGGACTGGGTGGGTCTCACCCTGCATCTCCTGCCTGCAGCTCTTCCGACGTGTGGCATCGGCTCTGCCCGGCATGGAGAATGTCCAAGAGAAGAGCAAAGAAGGGAGTATCCTTTTCCTTTAACACGTGAATAGAAAGAAAAAGATGGCCCCCAAAGTCCATGCTTTACTTGGTGTTTCAGGAGAACAAATGAATACTACCTGCCTCCAGCCCAGCCTTTCCTGGACTGATACAGATAGCCAGGCCACCTCTGTTCAGCAGCGGGATGGGCTCTATGGCCTCTGAGCTCCCACCCAGCTCTAACCAAGGCCACTGCCTCTTTCCCAGCAGTGAAGACGGGCAAGGGCTATGTAGCAATGTTGTGGGGAGGGGAGGGGTAGGGAAACAGTGGCTCTGTCTTGCTTTATAGTGAACACAATGTGTGTTTCGTGAGTCTAAGGAGATCCCAGGCAAGAATGCTTCCATAACGTGAGCATTTGATTTCGGCTTGTCAGAGCTTCCTCCATCTCCCACCGCTCTGTGGAACAAGCTCGCACAGCATTCCCACAGTGACTGAAACCTAGCTAACACCCAGGGACTGAAACCAGGGTTCATAGAGGTAGAATGGTTTACTTAAAGGCACATCGAATGCAACTTAGGGATTTGGGGTTCACAATGAGGCTTCCGTTATGGGGCACTGTCTCTCAAAGGGCACCTGAGAGGATACAATTAGAAGCATTGCCCACAAACAGGCTTCCTTTGAAGTTAGTCAGATGGCCCTGGGTAAGGCCCGAGAGACTAGACACTCAACCCCACCGTACATCTTCCAGAATGGGGTATGTCCCTGCAAGGTAGCTTCCCAGCTACTCCACTTATCAGTAGAGGTCTCTGAGGGAGACACCCACTGAGGGTCACAGAATGACCCAAGTGGTTCGAAGAGCACCTTCAGGCTGATGATGGCGAAAACAAAGGAAACATCTGTCGTAATGTGAGAAGCCATGGAGATGGCTGTGCCCGTCCGTCCCTTTCCTCTGCTCCATGCACCCGGTGCAGGGTAGGAAATAAGGACCTAGCAGTTGCCGCAAGGGTGAGCCTGAGACACACTCGAGCCCCCAAGGACCAAGTATCCTAGTAATGCCCGAGGGCAAACAGTATCTGTGTGCTTCAGAGGCCAACAGGAAACCAAGGGGCAGACTCGGGTGTGTCACCCCGTTGGTCAGTCACTTGCAAGTAAGGAGACAGAAACAGACTGGGGGGGCTGCAGAGAATGTCTCTCCACTCTCATTGCATGGCTGAGCCTGGCTACATTCCTTGGAGTAAAGACCCCGCCCCCAGTGTCAGGAGCTGTTTGTAGAACCTCTGAGTTGCAGGATAATACAGAAACCCACCTGCAGGGTCAAGAAGAGACCAAGTAGGCAATAGGTGTGATGACCCCCGCTGTGCACACTGTGAGGGACAAATAGCCTCTCTCTGTCATAGCCTCCCTCTGTCCTGCCCATTCCAAAGGCAAAGCCAACCTGCCTGGGTGAGTGGTGGCCATTCATTCATGTCCTCCAAGAACATGGTCCACGTGGGACCAACAATCAGGTCACATGGACTCCCACTTCAGAGTGACCCTTAGCATGGCATTCTAGTGTACCTAGCATCACACTCGGCTCTAGGGGAAGAGTGCTGAGCAGATAGCAAGCAGATCACACAGAGCAGTCTGGGCTGTGTCTGTTTGTCCTATGTGATTCTCTGTCTGGCAGATGCAGTCATACCCTTCCCAGGTGCCTCCCAAGCAGGGCAGAGCGTGCCCCAGACCTCCCAGCTGGTAAGCTTGCAGAGCTGTGACAAAGTCCAAATGTTTGTATCCTGTGGCCACTATCCTCTAATAGAGCAGTGAGGAGCTTTGACCCCACCCCCCAGAAACACAGAACCCTGTCCCCCATAGCACCGGAAGTTCTGGGGCAGAGAAGATGGTAAGAGGTTGTCTGGACCCATCACTGTTCAGGAACCATCAGACAGTGGTCCTTGATGTGGTTAGTTTTTACAAGCACCTTCCCGCCAGCCTGGTCCCACAGCTGCATCAGCCCCAAAATAACACACAGAGACCCTATTAGTTAGAAAGCTGTTGGCCAATGGCTAGAGCTTTTTATTGGCTAGCTCTGTCTTAAATATTAACCCATTTCTATCAATCTAAGTGTTTCCACGTGATCTTACCAGAGACAGGGTCTGGATCTCTTCTCTCACATCCTACATCTTGACTCCTCTCCACTACATCTCCCAGAATCCTCCTTGTGTCCTAGTCCCGTCTGTCTTGCCTTCCTATTTGCCAACAGTGCTTTATTCATTAACCAATAAGAGAAACATATTTACAGAGTGACATCTCCCATCAGCTAGTGATGGGAGTCCCTAGTGTAACCTGTGCACCATACTGGGTTCAGAGCGATGAGCAGCCACACTCTGTTCTGCTTACAGAAAAGCATAGGGTATGCGCATCTCAAGTTCTATGGCACATCTCCTCAGAGAATCTCCTCTTCTGGGGACTATTGAGAAGCCAATCCTCCTGTTCTAACCCATCTTTTCAATCAAAAGCAACCCTTGAGCACAGTATTTCAGTGGCACATGGCATTACAAAAAAGAAACATTCATGTTTGTATGTGCAAAAGCTTGCAGTAAATTATTTAAAGTTGTGCTTTATAATATTGTAGTCTCCCAATATTATAATTAAAATTGAGTTAAAATAAAAGTTAAGTTTCAGCATGTGGAGATGGGTCGGTGAGTTAGAGCACTTGCTGAGCAAGCCTGAAGACCCGAGTTTGAATCCCCAACACCCGTGTAAAAACCCAGACAAGGCCACACACAGCTGTAATCCCAGTACTATGGGGAACAGAGACAGAAGGCTCAGTGGGGCTTACTGACCACCATCCTAGCTCCATATTTAGTAAGACACCCCATTTTACACACACACACACACACACACACACACACGTACTTTAAAATTTTAGTCTCTTGATTGTGCCCGCATTATCCAAGCCCTCAGTTGCCAGCGTTGCTAGTGGCCACCATACTGGACATGCAGATATAGAGTAGCCCACCATCACAGGTTCTTCTGAACAGCGCCATTTTGGAATTATCCAGTGTTTATAGCAATGACTTCCCAGGTGTCATGCATTGGAATGTTCCAGAGAACTTCTTAATAACTCAACCTGTATACCCATCTCCAGATCCACCAATGTGGGGCCCATGAAAATGTATTTTTTCACAGGTTTCTCAGGAGATTTTAGACACAGTCCAAAAACACTATGTGGTGTACAAAAGTATTGTGCCTCAGATTGCCCCGTGGAAGATTTCCTTTGGAACAGTAGTCAGGCCACTCCCATATGGGACAGAGTGTCATGCCGTAGCACCAGCCAGCCTTCCAGCTAGACCAGTGCATCTCAGCTTGGACTGACTCTGACCCCTCCTTCATGAGGGGTATTGAGCAAATACTGCGGACGACTTTGGTTATGGTAAGTTAGGGGACTGGGAAGCAGGTGTATCTGGCATCTGGTGGGTAGAGATCAGGGGTGCTACAAGCATCCTGCACCCTCAGAGGGTACCACAACAAAGTAGCAGCCAGGACCTTACACGAGTGAGACTGAAGTAGAGAAGCCCATGAAAGGATTTTAGAAAAACCTACTCATTGAAAGCAAAACTGGGCAGGAGGTACAGCTGGTTGTTGAGTACATGCTTGATGTGTCTGAGGCCCTGGGTTCGATCCCCAGTACAAGTAAGTAAGTAGACAAACTCTTGGTGGGAAAGACAGGTAGCCTTGGGTTTCACCCAGACCCCTCAGCCTCCAGTCTGGATGATGGGTGTTTTATTTGCAACTCTGAAGTCTGATGCTGATGTTAGGTGACACATCTCTTGGGCCTCACACCAGGAGCAGAGGAGCTGTTCACTGTAGCCCAAAGATGCTCCACAAAGAGGGTAACATGGGTGCAAGCCTCAGCTTAAAATGAGGGCACTTACAGGTAGGGAAAGGGCAGGAATCTGGGTGGGGAAGGGCTGGGTGAAGTATTTCTAGAAGGAAGGAAAGTATAGAATTTGTTGAAGAAGGGGACAGTTTTGACTGCTGGGACTCCATGTATGATGGAGGGCAGGAGTCAAGCCAGACTAATGGGAAGGCCTGAATGCTAGTATGAGAGATCTTGGATGCTGCGTCTCTGCTTCAGGTTATGCTGTGGGTGTCACTGAGCTGGTGTAGGAATGCCACTCTGCTGAGAGTGTGCTGGGCAGGCTCAGAGGGTCACCTGTGGAAGATGAGGAGACCCCAGTGAGGCCTGTCCCCAGGGCCAACAGTGCAAGCCAGGAACTAGAGGGCACTAGGATCAGTGAGGGCCATCAAGAGCCACAGCTGGCAGGGAACAACATGGGGACAGTCTGGGAAGTATTTGTAGACATTTGGGGCGTGGAGGACTGCGGGATAGGACAGGACAAGGCTGGGCTGAATGGGAGAGGGAAGGAGGGATAGTGTTCACTGCCTGCTTACTTACGTGTCCTCCACCATGGCATCAGAAGTGTGGGTACACATACATACACACGTGCCAACCAAGTAGACCTTACGGTTTCATGTGTACACCCATACAATATAAAGAAAATAAAGGGAGAAAAATCACACTCAAAATACATACTGTGCTGAGTGATTGTTAGAAGGGGCGAAATACTGCCTGTGAACTTCCTAACAGCCGAGGCAAGGAGAGACAATGTGAACTTTGGGCTACGCTATTCCAAAAGAACCTCAGCGGTAGGGCCAGCAGTTAATGAGGCTGAGACCAAGGCTTGGTGTTGGAGTTTGAGCACCATTCAGCAGTCACTAGGGAAAGCTTCTGAGACAGACCATCCCTGGCCTATGTCACGGCCCAAGTTTTGCTCTGGGTAGACAGTTTGGGGGATGGAGGCAGGCGGAGGTAGAGAGAAGGGTGGGAAACGGACAGTTCCTTCCTACTCCAGCTGAGCTAAGAGCTTGCATCTGGAGGTTTGCAGAGGGACAGAGTAGCATCTTGGTGACCGTCATCTTCCTTAGCCAGCCTCCTACAGTGATTGACATCAAGCTGGACAAGCCCCAGGAGCCCCCAGCCAGCGAGGGTGGCTGCTCCTGCTAATGCAGAGCCCACTCGGCTTCCTCAACACTACTCACTTGTATTGCCTCCTATTGGTTAGCTTCCTAATGGGGTGGGAAATGAGTTTATGAATGGGAGGATCTTTCTTTTCTCTCTCTCTCTCTCTAGGAGTAGGGTGGGACATGGGGAGGGAGGCTGGGCATCAGGGACCACGTCACTCTTAACAGCTGTTACCTAAACAACTATTTTTTGGTTTGGTTGTAATATATTGTACTTTATTAAGATTGCCAAAAACTGTTAAAATTAAAAAAAAAATTTAAATCATGTGTATACAAACTTTTTGCCAGATAAAAAAAGTAGTCATTTTTATTTGAAAGATGTGCTTTTTTTTGTTTTTGTTTTTGTATATTTGTAAACTTAATAGAGAACCTCTCCACACACCTCTTCCTTCCTGTTCTCTTGGAACTGTGTGTCATCTCTACCTTCCTCCCACCCCCAGCCCTGTAAATTAAAGCAATTAACTGAACGATACTAATTAGGTTCCAGTCCTGGGTCACATGACTCAGACCATCCTAGCCCTCTACCCAGGCTCCCCTCAGTCAAATCAGACTCTAGTTTAACAAAACAGCCTTAGAGGGGGCATTGTTCAGTCCTTCCTCAACAGAGTGGGACGCATTAGCTGGCCCCTGAGTGGAAATGAAGGCCCGTGGACTGTAGCATCAGCAGCAATTCTGCCTGTCTCCTCCCCTGAAAAAACATGGCGACAGAGAGCACAGGCAACCAACCATGTGTTCTCTGTGCTGACCCAGTGACGAGCAGAGCGAGAAGTTCCTGGAAGGATGGGGTGCTCCTGGCAGTTGAGGGCTGAGGCAGTGTGGGGTTCTCAAATGTTGTAACCTACTGGCCCAACAGTTGGCACATGTAGTTAGGCTGACTAGCCAACTCAATGTGTGAGGCTGGGTGGCTCAGAGATGCTTCTGAAGCCTGGGGCACACGCCATCCATCCACCCGTGATTGGGGAGGTGAAGGATGTCTGCCCAGACTCTCAACAGTATGTGTCCTCAGACCCTCTGTTGTGGAAACATTGGTTCCTTGATGTGTTTCCACCCCTGGCATGGTACATTTGAAATCTTTGTAAGAGTAACTTTGGGAGTGTTGTGGCTGCACCACAGGCATCTTGGGGTTACTGTGGGGTTTCCAGAAGGTTGCCCAGGGCACTGTACAACCTGCCCGCAGCAAACCGTCTTTGCTATTTCCACGCGTTCCTGAGACTGCTTTAGTCTTAAAGACCTTCAAAGGCTCTAACAGAGTGCTCTCCTCGAGGTAAAGTAATTCACATTCTAAATGCTCCTAGACTCACTGCCCCAGGCCTGCCCAAAGACAGACAGGGGCAGTGACTAATCAAACATCCCAGCCCCATAGCACTGGCTCTTCTCCAGACCGATGATGGGCAGGGTAAATGCAGCCACAGGGCAGGACTCCAGCAAGGGGGTTGGAATGAATTATGGAACTTCTCAGAAATGAGTTCAAAATGGCAGCCTACATGGCGAGGGGGAGGGGGGGCTGATTTTGTGAGTGGGCGTGCCGTGCTTCTCCATGCTAGGGGAGCGTCAGAGCCAGTTCTGGTGAAGAAGAGAGGAAGCAGGAACCTCCTGGGTAGCCCTTCCAGAAGGCAAGGACCAATGTACAAGTGTAATGGAAACGTCACGTGTTTAGCTTTTTTATGTGTGTACATAATTATACATAGAGATAGACTTGTGTATACCCCTCCCTGCCCCACACATCCTCTCATATACATGTGCTCAATGTATATTCCTGTCGCCCCCGCTCTCAAGTTGGAACTTGCATTGTGATTCCTTTTGGAAGTTCAAAAGTATGCAGTGTATTGAAATAAGAAATACTCAATATTGTCAAATAACTTGTCGTCTTGCCTTCAATAAAATAGTGCATAGATGTGTTAAAATACAATCGAAACCTGTCCACACAACGATCGTCGCCACTGCTTTATGTACCTGTGTGCACAGGTGTGCATGCCTTTGTGGGCCAGTGTCCCCTCCGCGTGGGCACCCCACCCTAAGTGGTGCTTGTTTAAAGAAGGCACACTTAGCCTGTGATGGCAGCAGCCTGGTTGGCAGTGACAGGCTTTGCCAGCAGCCTCTGGCAGAGCCCCACTGACAGGGCTGTGTACCACGTCTCAAGGGATGACTGTAGGATAGATTTTAGTCTTCTTGGCACTGAGGAATAACCTATAACTCCAAGTAGCAAATCAGTCCCCTTCTCTAGTGCGCAGTCTCAGGCATCATGGCCTGCCGTTAGGAACAGCAGAGGCCTTGGTGAATGCCATCCTGGTTGATGTGGGCCTAAGGAACCCTGCCTTTCTAGCTCATACACACAAACCCCCCCTCGAGTTTAGGGTATCCAGCCCCGTTGCCTCGGAGAGTGAGGGTACTACCCCATTGCTCTCCCACCCCAGTGGTGGCCTGGCCTGCTCCTCAGCCCATCCCCTCCCCTAAAAGCCATTAAGGCATCCAGGCCCCACACAGAACTGTGTTGCTCCTGGGCTGTCTCGTTTACCACCACCACCACCATTGTCCTACTTATAAGTAGGATCTGGTCAGGTCCTCTTGACGATGTCCTGAAATTATCTCAGCGTCCCCATCTTTGCTGAATCCAGATCAGTCACAAGACAAAATGGAGGGTTCCTCTTAGTTCCTGATCTCAACTTAGTAATTCAGTTCCTCTCCCTCCCTGGACATTTGAACCTGGCCTGGCAGATGGGCACAGCCCTCTTCCTAGGAGTCTTGGAGGAGAGCTGTCAGCAGAACTTCTGTGAGCATTGCAGGAAAAGTCTAAGATTGAAAAGGCAGGTGGCACAGCGAGATGAAGGCGTGACATCAGTGTCCCCAGTGCTAATATTGCTGAGGCCACCAGGAGCAACAATGTCTGGTGGTTAGAACCACACTGCTGTCACAGTCATTACTCCCTTCCTGCCGCCATCCTTAAACATGTCAGCAATATCCCAAGATTAGAGAAGCCATGGCCACATCAGTTAAAGGTCTTGGGCAACAGAGATAAGGGTTGCAAGGTGGCAGCTAGTAGTGTAGACAATTGGGCACAGTGTCTGTTACTCAGTGGCTAACTAATGTCAGAGCTCTAGACAGTACATGTCCTCTAATATCCAGTGCGACAGCATGGGGACGGCGCTGCTGGCTTCAGCATCCTGCAGGTAGAGCGGTTTATTCCTTCTCCATATGGAAGGGGGAGAGGCTGTCAGGAAGACCAGGTAGCTGGAGATGGGAAGACAGAGCTACAAAAGCCAGCGAGTGAGGAGCATGTCTGAGTGTGTCAAATGCTCAGGGTGCAATGCTCATAGTTTCCAAACTACCTCTCCTGGAAGAATGGGAGACACAGTCACTGGGCCACAGCACCGGGAACCAAACCCTTCCTGTTTCACAGGCGGGAGAGCCAAAACAGACAAGATCACCTGCAAGCCAGGAATGATCCAAACCTGTGTTGGCATTCTTCTGACCTAGGTGTACAGACTGGACTGCATTTGTGCTCATGTCCCTTCGGCCACTTCCACTCTGTGGCCAGAACATAAGATTATTCCCAGCCTGAGTAGCTAGAGAGAATAGAGGTGCATTTGGGACTTCTTCACTGTAAAGGGTGGTCCCCAGATCTACCTGCATTGTATTGCACACACACACACACACACACACACACACACACACACACACACACGTGCAAACTCCTTGGACTCCAGGCCCTTTGGTATCAGGAAACCCTTGCAGCCGGAGTTCAGATGGTCCCTTCAGGAGGCAAGAAGACTCCATCGCAACAAAGGCCAGTCCGCCTATTGTATGTTGACTTCTTACTTCACCTGTTCTTTAAAGTGAGGAACAGAGGGTGGCATTTCCATCTGTAATGGGCTCAGAAGGCAAAGTGGCCATATTGACTTTACATTCAACTGTGTAATATGTGGAAAAGACTCAGCATGTTGGTCAAACAATAAACTGTCCTAATTCTCAACACAAAAGCTTCTTGTCGACTGTTTCTAAGTGGCGCAGTTATATATAGAGGACTTAAAAGCGGATTCTTCAAAGGCCCTCTCATGTCTGAGTGGTGTGTCCCCCACACAGGGCCTTTTGCCTTTTGTCCCTGCTCACTTGGGTTCTCCACTGGCTCTTAAAAAACCTGTGGGCCAGTGATTTTATGCACAGCCTCGTCTGTCTGTTAGATTCAAACAGTAGATGGTCAGGGAAACTCCAGGAGGGACCAGGACTTATAAGCATATTTATCATCACCCCCACACTCTACTTGACAGGGTTGGGTTAAGAAGGCAGAGTGCAGGGTCTAGGTTTCTCACTTATCCTTTTGATGGTTTCCAGACTACCCTTTAAAGGCAAGAACTTCCAAGTAATCACGATCACCTTTCAGTTAGCACCAACCATGACCACCCCCCAGTTAGCGGACAGGTCTTCACCTCCTCCATCCCAGCAGGTGCCCTGAGCTCCTCTCTGGTTCTGAGAATGCTGGAAGTGCCGCTAAGTTCACCAGTGATCTTTCCCATGGAAAGGTTCTAAAAGTTCTGGAACACTCCAATTTGCCACCTCAAGGCCACTACTGATTAGCAGCAGGGAGAAGATACAAAGGCCCCCCGCATACTGCCTTAGATTGGCGTCTGGCTATAAGGTGTGAAGTGGGCAGGTTCAGGGGATGGCCAGGGGTGGAGGGCAGAGGGCCTGAGACCATGACTGTGCCAGGCGAAAGTAACAGCTTCAGTCCAGAGCCACAAGGCTTCACACCCCTGAAGGAGCTGTTGCTCTCTCTAGGTAAGATGGTAGCACAGCTGCCCCGCAGTCCCAAGACTGAGGTACTGCAAGTGTGCACAGGGTGACATTGTGATTGTTCCACTTAAAGTGCAGAGTGGCAAGGGCAGGGGCTACTGGGTGGCTTTCCTCATCACTGCAAGAGTGGCCACTGTTTGCTAAGTCTAAATGTTGTATGTCAGGGAAACCTTGTACTCTTGGATATATGTACACACACACACACACACACACACACACACACACACACACACGCACGTATTTTCTTAGGGTCACTAGAACACAGCTAGGTGCTTGTGTGGTGGGACCATAGCGGGTGTTGAGGCTATAGGATTAGTGGCTTACCTAGGACTGCATGGCTGGCACGGAGTGGGGGAGCAGCAGAGGCAACATGGGGCAGCATAAATGCCGCTTTAGGTGAGCACGGGGACGAACCTAAAGAACCTAAAGCGGGGGATTAGACAGTTCTCTAAGAAACAACAAAACCAAGGGAAGAAGCACATTCTGGGCCAAGTGATGTCAACAGAATATCTCATGTCAGGAGCTGCGGCAGCAGGCCTTGGGAAGCAGTGGCAGGACCCCCCCCCCCCCAGCTGTTGTTCATTAAGAGCTGAGGCCCTTCCAGAAACTGAGGCACCTGGTAGTGAGAAGCTACCACTGCCATGGCTTAAAAGAGCCAGAATGAGGTCTGGCCAGTGGTGAGATTCTTGGATCTATGTGCATGCTCCAAAGAAGATTCCAGAAGTGGAACACTTCAAGCCTTCCTTTACAACTGGGTTTTACAGCACTAGGCAAACAATCTACCAAGCTAGTTTCCAGCCCTGCCCGGCTTACTTTTGCGTAAGACCACCTTTGGGCTATGAATCCTGTTCTCCGTCCTCATCACTTTTTTGATGTGCCTATTCTCCCAGTAAATAAAATCACTCTGTTACCCAGAAAAAGTTCAATTAGACATCTACCTTTCCCCCCTCCCAGAGCACCTACTGTGATGTGTCATTCATTATGCTCTCACTTGGCTAACACGAACAGCAGTGTCCACAGAGCTGTAAGAATCCTAGCAGCAATTCTGGTTTCCGGTAGAGAGGACAGGGTCATCTCCCTACTTACCCATTTTGTAGTGTACTTGTCTCACACACCAGAAAGAAATGTTTTAAGGTCAGAGGCCTGAGCACTTAATGCTGGGAATAGCAGCAGTCTGAGAGTGTACTGTCAGCCCAAGTGATCCACAGGGAGGCCATGCCATGGCTGGCAGAGGCTTGGGCAGGACTGCATAGGGACACCCTGTGTGTTTATCCTGTGACTCTCTGGTCCCCAAGGCCAGCATAGATGCTTCCGTGCATGCTCCCAGAGGTACTGCACCCCAAGCCATGGCTCTCTGACGACATCTCTTTAGTGAGACCTGTCTCCAAGTTCGACAAGAGACAAGAGCATGTCTGTATATACACAGCAGTCTGTAGGCGCAGGTAACCTAGAGTTGAGCTTGAATCCTAGTTCAGGTTCCTATCTGTACTCACTTATCACTGGACTTACTGCTTTCAGATAAGAGTTATTTATCAAGATACCAGTCTTTCTTATTTGTTTTTTGGAGACAGGATTTCTCTGTATTGCTCTGGGAACTCGCTCTGTAGAGCAGGCTGGCCTTGAACTCATAGAGATCTGCCTGCCTCTGCCTCCCGAGAGCTGGGATCAAAGTCATGAGCCACCAAGGTCCAGCAGGTACCAGTCATTTGTTAAAGCATGAAAGTGCAAATGTTTAAGACAGCATTACTTTGAAAGGCAATTTTTTGAAAGCATGAATACATGAAAAGTGTATACAGTGGGTGTTTTCAGTCTGTTCTGTCCCACAGCATCTGAGTTGACATAACAGGAGCTGATCCAGTAGCATAGGCAGACAGCTTGGGGTCTGCCCGCCCCAGAGGTGGCAGTATGCTGGCCCCAGCTCTCCACAGGGGGCCTCTAGGATACACTAAGGCATGAGTGTCCGTGGAGTTGGCTCTTACATCCATCGTGTGGGGCTGAAGGGTTCCCAGGAGGCTTTTGAATCTAAGCTGGAGTGGAGACGGCCCCTGAGCCCATGAAGAACACTGTCAACTGTCCCCTGTGGCTCTGAACCCACCCTCACTGTAACTACCTTTACATCCGAGACTTTCTCTAAGAACTGACAGAGTATCGTGCCAAAATGCCAGGGGCAACTGGAAATTAACTGGTTCCATAAACAGGCAGGTCTGGTTCCAGGAAAAGGGACTGGAGCAGAGAGGCAGAGGACAAGAACTTTCCAGATGAGCCTATTCTCGTGGTAGTGGCCTCTCTGCAATGCTGTCACAGTTACAGCAGTCTACGGCTACCAAAGGGAGAACAGAGTTAAATAAAAAGGACTGGTTGAGGAAGGAGCTGAAAGGGAGGGACAACGGCTCTCAGGCTGCTATAATTTTTTCTAGAACACGGAGACGCTGCAGACACATCTTGCTCCCTCTTTATCGGCTCCACACAACCACAGCCCTTCCCCAGCTGCCAGTCAGTCACAGCTGACCAAGGTTTGCAGCCAGGGCTGCCCCTCAGGCGATCTTGGCCAGCCACTTCTCCAAGTCCTGGATGTCAGCAGAGCCAGCATCCCCACGTCCACCCTTGGCACTGCATTCCAGGAACTCCACTTTGAGGGGCAGCTGGGAGAATTCAAACTCTTTGCCTTTCTTTCCCAGCTGAGCAGGTGCAGTACTGGAACTGTCCAGTGTGCTGGGAGCAGCCGACCGGGTGACTCGTAAGGTGTTTCTGTGGGGCAAAGGGACAAGTCAGGCAATCCATCAGTACCATGAAGACTGACAGGCTAATCGTCAATTCACTGGTGACATTGCTGGCTTATCCTTTTTATCCACGAACCACTGTTTCAGACAGACAGGTGAGACAGGTTCAACCTGTCTGTTAGCCAGATGTCAGTGGGTTAGGGGACCCAGGCCACACCAGCTTTTTAAAGTCTGATTCCGCTTCTAAGATCTCCTGAATGACAACATTAAATGTATGCTGTATTAAAAAACTCAAGTTTGGAAACTTCACAGGGATATGGGAGCTTTGTATCATGAGTCTTCTTGGATATAAAGTTCACACATCACTGACTTCAAAGTCTCATCCATTCTGCTTTTAAGTAGGAAAACCTCAAATTAATTCATTTTACTGCCACCTGCTGGCCCTGTTAGAGAGCACACAGGCAGCATGCTTCCTCCTGCCAGGGACTAATTTTTATAAATACTAGACTACATCCAATTAAAATGAGATGCTGGACATACATGGTGGTGCACACCTTTAAATCCCAGCACTGGGGAGGCAGAGGCAGGCAGATCTCTATGAGTTTGAGGCCTGCCTGGTCTACAGAGCGAGTTCCAGGACAGCCAGGACTACATAAGACCCTATCTCAAAAGTCTTACTTTTACAAAAGCAGTAAGAAAATGTAACTGGCATTACTGTGTTGGTCTTTTCTTCTGCAAATAAGCATTTTAGTTCTTAGAAATCAGCACAGCACAGAAGCTTGCTTGATTCCTTAACGCTCAGTTATCTCGCTCACAAGTTTTTCAACAACAGAAATACTATTCTATTGCCAATAGCTTGAAAACAGTAAGAAACTAAAACAGTAATGTAGACTTTTATATTCTTCCTAAGTGTTCTTGCTCTGTCAATAATAATTTCCAGTGGCTACATTTTAAATTTTATTTTCTGGGACAGGCTCTCACTATTACAGTCCAGGCAGGCCAGGGACTCATGGCCTCCCTGTTTCCTGACTCCTGGGACTACAGGTATGGGGGACCACATGCACCTTCCCATGGCTTTTAATTTTTTTACTTCCCTTTTCCTCTGACCCTCAGTTTTTATTTAATGTCATTATTTTGTACATATTATCTGTACCTTTTATACTGTTTTATAAGCCTTACTGTATGAACAAATACCTTCATTCACTGAAATAAAATTAAGTCTCTAAAACCTTCCAACTATAAAAGAGTAATGGTGATTAAAACAAAATAAGCTAATGATTTCAATAAGTCATGAAATATCATTAGTTTTTTATAATTCCACTAGTTCTTTCATAAGTTATTCAATATATATTCTATACCAATCCTGACTATAATTTTGATAATCATACACAACCAAAGGTGATAGACTTCAACCCTTGAACAATTTAGTATCAGAACTTTTTTTTTGCTAGGAGTACACATGCACACTTACAGTTCCTTTTCAAGCTGCTGCTGAATTAACTTTGCTGATTTTGCCATTGCAATATCTGTGGAAAAAATAAGAACATTGTTCTAGTTTAAACCACAATGTGTCTTCTCCTTGGACTTCCAGCACAGAGAGAAAATTCCTATTTATACCGGGACGTTCACCTCCTATTCCTTCATTAAAGCACTTTTTATTGCTGTTTCTTTCTCTATCAAAGTACATACTGTATTTGTGGTTTTTTGAAAAATGCTTTATAATATTAAATGCAATAAAACATTGTTTTAGTGCTAGTGACCCTAAAACTAATCAAGCTTAAAGTTTCCACACCTTACAAGCCTTTCCATACTTACACTTGTCCAGTCAGTTTAAAGAAAGCAAGCTTACCAGCACCTAGACTGACATTTGATGAGAACTTTCAACACACACCATCTTATCCACCGTTTAAAGTGAACCTCACACAGCCAGCGTATATTTAGATGCCATGGTAAGCGTGAAGTACATTGTAGGTTAGAAACAAGCTCAGGAGTAACACAAAGCCCAAGCCAAATCAGTACTGAGTGCCTTACTTATACAAAATAGAGAAAGAGGTGACAGCCGGGGCTGGAGAGTAGGCTCAGAGGTAAGAGCACTGGATGCTCTTCCAGAGGACCATAGTTCAATTCCCAGCATCCACATGGCAGCTCACAACTGTTTGTCACTCCAGTCCCAGCAGATCCAAAGCCCTCTTCTGATTTCCTCAGGTACCAGACACTCACAATGCTCACAGACGTACATGCAGGCAAACACCCATACACATAAAAATAATTTTAAAGTAATGCCTACAGCATGTATTATAAGGATTTTTTTTTTTTTTTTTTTTTTTTTTTTAATCACTTCTGAGAAATGCTTCGGGCTCCTAAGAAATGCACTTGTGAAAGAACTCTGAACTGGTCTCAGAGCTGAAGACGGACTCAGGAGAAGGCTGCAGTTCCCTCTGGTGGACCCTGCTTAGGGGTAAGGTTCATGTATGGAGAGACCCAACCATCTTTCCAGAACTGACAGTACATAGCCTCACAAACTAACATTTGGTGAAGTAAAATAATGTATGATCTTTAAAATAAAAAGCACTGTATCATGAAAGAGGGTATAACAGAACAGCCCCTTGGCTGCCAGTCCTTAGGACAGCCTGGCAAAAGGATGATGGGAAAGTAATAGAAATAGATTAAGAGTTAATCCCTTAATTTATGAATACCCCTCCCCATGCTGACAGTACCAACTGCAGGTAAACAAGCTAATTCAATCCTAGACCAATCCACTGCCATCGCCGGGAAGCACCTTGCTTATTGCAGGCTATTAAGAAGGATGGTGAGTTCTTCAGACCCATGCTGTCGATGAGGACTTGATACAGAAACTCGGCCACATCTTTCACCTCCCGCTGGAACGTTGCACTATCCACCACGAACACCACAGCCCTGCAGGACAGTTACAGGGAAGAGGCACATGAACACACACAGTAAGCGGGAGCCACAAAACAGGGTCCCTGATCCCTTTAGACTCAACCATCTGACACACACACACACACACACACACACACACACACACACACACACACACACCTACCTTGACTTAGTAACAATAAACCAGTTAAGAAACTAAAATAATTCAAGAAATGATGTCTGCTCTCTCAAGAGCCAGGAAATCATCCAATAGCCCACAATGGAATAAGAACAAAGAGGAAGACATTTGAGCAAGACCAAGTGGAAGCTGCTGACAGAACAAACAAATTGGGCACAGGCTGTTGGGCTAAAGGAGTATGCTGACAGTACAGATAAATACAACAGAAAGAAAGGAAGAAAGAAAGAAAGAAAGAAAGGAAGAAAGAAAGAAAGAAAGAAAGAAAGAAAGAAAGAAAGAAAGAAAGCCAGCCTCGGAAAGAGTACATGTGGAGGGGTGAGTCATGGGAAGCCAGGTCAGAGATGACAACTGACTCTAACGCTCATGTGTTCCTGTCCTACAAAGACTATTAGTGCTTAAGTGGAAGATGGAGAACTCTTGGGATAACTCAAGGAGAATTATAAACACATGGTGCTAATCTCAGGCAATAACAGTCACTTGGTGCCAGAAACAGGCATCAGAGGTAATGCAAGGGAACTAAAGACAACAGGTCCTAGGGGTCAGGGGCTTGAAGGCCCACGTGGAGAGGGATGTGCAATGCTTAACAGGCCCTGGGCAGCCACACCAAGCACCCTGCACAAAGCCTCCAACTCACAGGCAGGCTAATGAGGCTGTGATTAGAAAAATTTCCAAGACTGAAACACCTGTCTGCATTGCCTCACAGCTACAGTGCATGAGTTGACATTCTACTCTGGAGTAAGAGCCCCAAGCAAGATTACATAAAATGTGGGCCAGACTCATCGAACCCCCATGATACCAACAGATGAAGTAACTGTCTGGAGTCTACCCTTCGTGTCCTACAGCAACAAAGACCATCAACCTCATCAATGACACCCACTCCCTTGAAGGAGGGGGCTCTGCATGAAAATGTAGATGAAAATATGCAATTACAAGAGAAAACATCCAGAACCTCCACTGGAGTTCAGAGTGACCTAAGCACATAGTCACAGTTTGGAGATGTAGCTCAGTAGGTAGAATGCTTGCACAGCCTGGGGGGTCTCATCCCAGCCAGCATAAAACCAGGCAATGCCCATGCCTGCAATCCTAGCAGGTGGAGGGAGGAGATCAAAAACTCAAGGTCATCTTTGCCTAAACAGTGAGTTCAAGGCCAGTCTGAACTACATGAGATCCTGCCTCCAAAAAAACAAAACAGAACACATGTTTAAAATTATTTTAGAGGATAATACTAGGAACAAATAAACAGGTAGACACTTTTGAAGCTATTTTCAAAAGACTACAGTATAAAAATAGTATATGAAATTAGCAACCCAGTGGAACCTAAACAGAGATGACTCTCAGCTGAAAGAAAATAGCAAACTAGACAGCAGATCTGAGGGGCTCACACAACGCTCAAGGGAAAGGGATTTGTTAGACAAACCAGTGAAGAAACGGCAGAGAGAAGGAGAACAAGGGAGAAAGAGCAGGCGGTGCCATCTGCTGGCATCACAGGGCTTGGTGAATATGGCCCCATTTTCAGGCTACTCTTTCACTTGGGGTTCTCCGGCCTGCAGTGTCCGCCGGTTAGGGTTAGGGTTAGGGTTTGCGTGCCCTGTAGCTGTGTGGCATGGCGGCAGGGGTTTCTGTTGCTTTTGTGCACTGTGGTTGGTCCAGGTGCCCAGGGCCTGTTAGCCACATCCTTTGATGTAGGATGGTACATTGGAATCCAAACACCATGAAGCCAGACATGTGTCCCATAGTGAAATGGGAAAACAGAACCTGAAAGGAAGGGACAGAATTTGGCAAAGTGCAAAGAAATCATATCTACTTAAGTGACCACTGGCTCTAAGAAAAGTAGCGATTGATTGCTGTCAGTTACAGAGGCACATCCCCAAAAATAACTGGTGCTGCTTAAATGGGGCAGGAATGCACAGATAGAGTAACAATAATATAGTTTTAAATGAGGAGAAGGAAGGAATCTTCTTTTTCTTTTTTGTTTTAGTTTTTCGAGAACGGGGTTTCTCTGTGTAGCTTTGAAGCTTTGGAACCTATCCTCTACCCTGGGACTTACTTACTCTGTAGACCAAGCTGGCCTGGAATTCACAGAGATCTGCTGAGTGCTGGGATTAAAGGCGTGCCCCACCACCACTCAGGGGAAAGAAAGTAAATTTTTAAAAAAAAGTCCCACGGGGCTCAAGAGATAAGAGGACTGGCTACTCTTGCAGAAGATGAAGGTTTGGCTCCCAGCACCCACATAAGGCAGCTCTCAACTGCTTTTGACTCCAGTCCAGGGGATCCAGCACCATCTTCTGGCCCTTTTGGCACCTGCACATACATGATGCACAAGCATATACACAGGCACATGCACACAAATTAAAAAAAAAAATCTTAAAAAGTCACATACCATAGTACAAGTATTTTCATCTCCCTTGTATTATTACTGAAGTTTCTGTGAACTTAATTTTACCTTTATATGCTACATATTCTATTTAATCAAAAATACTTGGATAACAGTATAATTATACTACAAACTGTGAATTACTTGCAATTAACAATAGGAAAAAAATACTGGTTTTGAGACAGTTTCACTGTATTGCTTAAACAGGTCTCAAACTTGCCATCCCCCTGCCTCAGTCTCCTAAGTAGTGTGTGTCACAGTGCTCAACGAGAGGGAAAAAGAACACCCAATTATGACCAAACTTAGCAGTTCTAGAAATGTCTCAATTGTCTGAGGAATACAAATCACATTCTCGCCTGTGACAAATTGCTCATCACCATCTTTTTGTGGCAAGAAGCAATGACAAAATCTAAGTCTAGAATGCTCAACAAAAAGGAACCTAGGATACCATCAGTCAAAAACATGAATACCTCAGGCACAATACTGCCAATTAAGCTATCACAACATCATCTCCAAAATGCTTTCCAAATCCAGTTATTAAAATATGCCTTCACATCATTGAAATGTTATCATACAAACTTAACTCTTTAGTTTTTAAATCAGTGATAGATAGCAAACATTAAGAAAGCATACAAATTTTAGGAAAGGACTTAGGAATCAACTGACACGAGGACTTACACTAAAAATAGTTCTTGAGGCACTGATTTAATGTTATTCAAGAACACACCTGCTGGGATGCCACGTTGCCTCTAGCTTTTGACAGGTTATACAAGGAAGATAATAAGGACGGTTTCTGTACCATGGTTCCTACCCACAGTGGGAAAACACTCAGCTAACAACTGGCTACAAAGCTGCTTGTAAGGGTATGCCACTACTGTAGGGGTGAGGAAACCTCATCGTCCCAAGTCTGGCACTGTGGCACTCTATTGAACTCTGAGCCACAGATCCCAGTCAGCATCTGGGGTAGAAATTGTCCAGGACTTCAAGATAGACCTGCACTTACAGAGTATCATGCTTCACAGGAGCCAAGCCAGGCCACTCTGGCTGTCCTTTTAGAGGATACCAGCTGTGCACTATCCATGCAAACAATTAATAGTTATGCCCAAAGATATCTAGCTAGCATGCCACTGCATTATGTACAGAACATGCTTAAGAATCTATGAGAGCTGGGTGTTGTGGCACACACCTTTATCTCAGCACTGGGAAGGGAGAGGCAGGCAGATCTCTGAGTTGAGGCCAGCCTGGTCTACAAAGCAAGTTCTAGGACAGCCAGGGCTACACAGAGAAACCCTGTCTTGAACCCTGCCCCCGTCAAAAGAAATCTCATATAAGGAAAATGCTTGTTCTTAAAAATAAAGTAAAACATAAAATCCTCTTTGTCCTGTTAATCAGTAATTCTGAATGTTAGATTAGTTCCCCATGGGGTCAAAAGGTATTGATTCTGACTAGAAAAATAGGGGACAGAAATCAGGCATTGGCAGTCTTTCCATTTTTATTTGTATGTGAATTCCCAATACAAACATGGGATGTAAAGCCTGATGGAGACAAAACCTTTCAGGGGACAAGTACTAGCTGCTCAACTTCAAGACAATTAGAAATAAACTCCTTACATTTTACTGGACAATGCTAGCATTTGTAGCATTTCCATGCTTAAAAAAAAAAATAAATACAAACTAGGCAGTGGTGCATGCCTTTAATCCCAGCTCTTGGGAGGCAGAGGCAGGAGGATCTCTGAGTTCAAGTCCAGCCTGGTCTACAGAAAGAGTTCCTGGACAGCCAAGGCTACACAGAGAAACCCTGTCTCGAAAACTCGAAAAAGAAAACAAACAAACAAAACATACACACACACACACACACAATTCCTTTTCCACATTCTAAAAGCCTTAACATATCATTAAATCTATCTTCAGGGTTAGGCGCTAGATAGAGAGATGGCTCAATGGTTCAGAGTGTATTCTTGCAGAGGAACTGAATTCAGTTCCCAGCACCCATGTTGGGAAGTTCACAGCCACTTGTAACCCCAGCTCCAGGAGATTCAACAGCCTCCTGTGGTTCACACATGTATCTGCACACAAGTACCTGCCTCACATACATACAGTTAAAAATAAAACAATTTTTATAAAAATTGTATCTTCAGAGTTATCATGAAATGTAGTGTTAATGGAGTAACACTCCCTGAGGGTTACTCCCCAAGAAATTCTCAAGATGTCTCCAATCTTCACGATCCTAACACCCCAATGACCTACTCCAAGGTGCATGTCCTTTCCACCCCAGGGCATCACGGTGTCAGCATCTTAACAGAGTACACAGAGGATGACAACACAGTATAGACTTGAACAAAGGCACGTCACTTCTCCCTAACTTACCTGGCTGAAGACTTAAAGCGATCTAAGAACTGAAGCCTCAAGCTCTCGTGCCCAGGGAGGTCGATCAAAGTCAGGCTATTGCCCTGAGGACAGCAAGAGTGAGATCAGGTCAACCCTGGGTCCAGTTCCAGGTTCACAGGATAGCTCTCCACCTTCAGATCACGGGCAGCACAATGGTGCTGTGCTAATGAGTCAAGCAGATGTTTCGTGCAGACAGCGGGGCAGATGATGTCTGAGGAGTACTTCCTAGTAGTGAACCCTGCCCGACAAAGGGAATGCTTGCTAGTATGCATGAGTCACAGAAAGAAAAAATAGGGGCTGGAGAAGATAGCTCAGGTGCTGAAAAGATCTGAGCTTTATTCCAAAAAACCCCTAGATTTAAAAAAGAAAAAAAAAAAAAAAAAAAAAAAGGTCGTGTGGTAGGGGTCACTTTGCCCCAGCACTGGGGAAGCAGAGACCAGAAGATCCCTGAAGCTCTCTCATCAGCCAGCCTAGCCTACTTTGTGAGTTCTAGGACAATGAGAGACCATCTCTCAAAAACCACTGTGTCCGGCATCACAAGGAACAACAAATCCAAGCTTGACCTCTGCACATGGACCTGAACTTCCCACATTACTGGCTCCCACACATATACTAAATAAATAAAACAATGGCCAAATCTCTGGCAATTAAACAGTAAGCATGGTTCTTGATATGACATGAATAACGCAAGGTAAAATTATATAAGATATATAAAATTACAATGTAAATAAATGGGGTTTTTTGTTTGTTCTTCCTCATTTTTTTGTTGTTTGTTTTTTTGGTGACAGGCTTTCACTATGTAACCCTAGCTACCCTACCCTACACTCACTCTTTAGACTGGGCTGGCCTCCAATTCAGAGATCTACCTGCCTCTGACTAGTGCTGGGATTAATGATGTGCGCCACCACCACCTAGCTTAATAAATGTTCTTAAGAGAATAGAGACACCTCACTGTCTGAAGGAATTGTAGACATGTGGTCTATCCAAGGCCTAGGAAATACACCAATATGGGTATAAGCAAATGCACAAGAAAACTGAAAAGTCGTAAGTATTCACAAATAATGTAAAGTAAAAACATACAATTTATAGTATTATTACAATTAATGAGATTCTCAATCTTAATTTTGACTTTTGAGTTTTTGATATTTGTATATTAGATACACATTTATTTGTCTCAACTCAGTCAGTATTTTGTTGCAATTTCTGGTCCCCTACATAGCAAACTTAGTACTTAGGTACTGTCACCATCCTAGGACTTCATCCTTAGAACACATGTTATTGTAGACAAAAATAACAAGACTACCAGGTGTGGTCTGGTAAATGTATCAGGACCATCCATCATTTCTCACACTGACCCAGTCCTCAACCAACTATGACCATAGTGTCTGCAGAAGGAAGTCAGTACCACATACAGACTGGACACATCCCAAATCAGCCACTGAGCCCTCACCTCTCACTCACCAAAGCTCTTAGCATTATAATCAGCTTGGCAGTTACCCTCTACACCCTGCAGCTACACAGGTATGCAACAAGTCATTCTTGTGATTCCTCATTTTTTTTGAAACGTACAGTATAAATCCATCACAACAATGCTCGTAAAAGCAAAAGATTGTAACACTAAATATTAACAATGCTCTGACTAAATAAAAATCTAAATATAGGACAGCTTTGAAAGAAGTCAGGTTAGCAGAGACAGAAAAGGAAAACTACTTTTAAGTAAATGATTATCCTGTGTTTATGCACTGCCTCTTATAACAGAAAAAGACCTAGTGCTTACTGAAACTCACAGTAATGTTGAACAGAAAGAGCTTAGAATAAAATGTTTTTAAAAAAAGAATGAAATGTGAAATAACCCTGTATATAAGTTACAAGGTTGAGCGGACAAGATGAAATCTGTAAAGTATGCTACAATGATGCCTACATCATCAGACTATTCTAAAAGGTCCTTCCTTCTTACACCGGTGTCTTAGTTAGCTTTGTCAACACGACACAGCTTACAGTTAACTGAGAGGAGAAGCCTCAACAGATTGGCTGTGGGCATATTAGTGGGGTCATTTTCTTGATTGATACTTAATATAAGAGGGCCCAGCCTGATGTGGGAGGTTCCATCTCGAGGAAGGTGGTCCAGGGCTATGAAGAAATCAAACTAAATAAACCAAAGAGTGGGCCAGTGAGCAGCATCTCTGCATGGCTCCTGCTTCCAGGCTCCTGCCTTGATTTCCCTTAATAATGCATTATGACCTGGGAGTGAAAACCAGATTAAACCCTTTCCTCCCCAATGGTCAGAATCAATCAATCAATCAATCAATCTATCTATCTATCTATCTATCTTTCTTTTGAGACAGGGGTTTCTATGTGTAACAGTCCTGGCTGTCCTGGCATCTGCTTTGTTGAACAGGCTGGCCTCAAACCCACAGAGATCCACCTGTCTCTGTCTCCCGAGTGCTGGGATTAAAGGAATGAGCTACCACCACCTGACCATTTTTTTTTTTCAGAGTATTTTCTCACAGTTACAGAAATGAAACTAGAATTTACAATAGGAAGAGTGTCAGATTCTAGAACATTCCAGATAGCTTACCCTGTTATTGTTGACTTTGTATGCAGCAGAACTATCAGTTATGGAAGTCTGTGTGTCTCTGTAGTGGCCAGTTAGCAACTGTAAAAAGAACAAGATGGTCAAGATCTGGGTAAGCGCACTACAATAAAACCAAACCCAACTTAAAGAATAACATTTTAATTCTCTCGGGCATAAGGTCAAATGAATGAATGCTACTTGAAACAGCTGAGAATTATTGTATTATTTTTAACCTGTATGAAATATAATTAGCTACAGGCTTTATTCCTCTTTTTTTGCAGGGCCAACGATCTAACCCAAAGCCTCAGACATGCTTCAAAAGCTACTCTACCACTGAGTGACACCCGAGGCCGAATATTCCTTTTTTTAAACAGCAGCAAGAGGCCAAATGTACTGACCTGTAAACATTTAAACTACCAAAAACAATTCAAGGCCTGAAGAGATGTTTCAGCGAATAAAACACTTGCTGTGCAAGCCTGACAACCTATGAACCCATATAAAAGCCGATCTAGTTGTGCACACATTCACAATTTTAGTACTTCAATGGGGAAAATGAGAGGAGAGACAGAACTTCCAGAGATTCAGACTAGCTAACCTGGCACAGCAATGAGAGAAAACCAACACCTGTCATCCTCTAGCCTCAGGCACACAAGTACCAGCACTCACACACACAAACACATGCACACACACCCGCCAAAGGAAGCGTGGACATTCTTCATAGTGAAACATGCTCAGTTAAAAAACACTGGCCACTAAGTATTAATGAAAAGAAGCCTGACGAGCTTAAACTACCAAAGGAGCTCACCAACTACCAAGGCTGGCTAGCCAAGGAATGCCAGGGATCCACTATCTCTACTGGGATTACTGACAAGGACCTGTATATTCCAGGGATCCAAACTCAGGCCCTCAATTTTGCCAGGCAAGCACTATGGACTGGGTGACCTCCCCAGCCAGACCGTGTATGTATGTATGTGTATATATATTCTAACAGTATCATCTGACTCAGAAAAGAGTTGCCTGTGCCACTGATAAGTAAAGCCTGGCATACATTTCCCTTTCATCATTTAAACTAAAAAAAAAAAAAAAAAAAGTTTCAGCCAACATTTATGTTATGTGACAGTGACCTTATTGAGGAATCAGGTAATAGACTGGGATGCAAAGTTCTTTGCCCAATCTTGGTCCAACTGCAATCACAACCTTGTTCCCCACACAAAGGGTGTTCTGTAAGAACCGTGAACTACACAGAGCCCATAACACACTTTACAGATGAGTAAAATACATCGTTACAAGTATTTTCAGATTAAGGATGTGAAAGTGATTAAAAAAAAATGTATGCAAATACTCCAAAACTCAAAACATCCAAAATCTGAAACAACAACAAAAAGTCTCTGGCAAGCTCTCAGAAGGGTTTATTGCCCAAAAACAACTCTTCTGGCATCTTTACCCGCCAAAACATATCTACAAAAGACCTTAGAGTAAAGGACTAAGTGTGTGTGTGTGTGTAGGGGCAGTTACAGGTTTTCCTACAATCTTTTTGTATTCCCAAGTAAGTCAAAAATTAACTCCCAGGACTGAAGGAAGGTCAGCTAAACTAACTGGTTAGGAACACATTCTGCCCACGTAGGGGACCTGAGTTCACTTCCCAGAATCCACATCAAGGAGCTCAGAATAGCCTATAACTCCAACTCCACGGCATCTACACATCTGGCCTCTAAAGACACAGGCAATCATGTGCTCTTGCTGACACAGTTTCCTGTACAGAATAAACCACAAGATGACCGGAATACTGAAACACCATGACAATTCCTATTAAGTTTAACAGTGGTGGAAATCAAAGCATTACCCTGACAAACAGCAACGTTTTCCCAGAGTCACAAAGCCCAACGAAGAGAACAGCTCTCTGACTGCTTTTTCTGCTCCAGATGAACTTCCAGAACACTGCAGATAAGAGAAAAACCGCCTTCATTTTCAAGGGCATTAATAGGCATTTACGGCAAAACAACGCATCCACCTTCAATTACGTTCACTCATTAGTCGCTTTAATAGGTAGGAACCCATATCGTCTGTCACGCCCACGTCCCTCATCCCAACTATGGAGACTTCAAGTATCCACAGAACAATGAGGCTGAAGAAGAAATAAAAAATTTTTTTAAAAAAAGTAATTAAGTTGGCTTGCTAAATTTGATATGAGGATCTCTACTCTTCCTCGGTACCCGGTATCCCAGAGCCCAGCTCACAGATACAAGAAGCTCTAAGTTGGTGTGAGCGATGGCGGCGGACGCACTCTGCGCTCAAGCGCACAGGGGAGCCTCAGCACGCCTGTCCCAAGAACTAGGTCGGTTCGGAGTCCCCAATCGACGCTGCTGGGTCCGTCCTGGAGGGTGGACGGCAGAAGAAGGGAGCCCCGCCGCCCGCCTCCCAGGCCTGCAGCGCCGAATCCCAACTCCGCCACCTCGCCTTCTCCGCGACCGCCTGTCGCCTCACCCAGCGTCAGCAGGACCGCGAGCACCGCCACCGCCACGGACAGCAACGTCGGATCCCTCTGCTGCAGCTCCTGCCTCAAGGAATCGAGGTAAGGCTGGAAGGCGCCCCCGGCGCCATCCCCGACACGCCGGGTGTTCGCAGAAGCCATGAGGAAGATGCGCCGTCTTCCCGGGCCGCCTAAGCTACGTGGCCGTAGACTCCGCACCGCTGAGCACCACGGGAGTGGTAGTTCATGGGGGGGGGGGAGTTCCCGCCTGCAGGCCGTGAGGAACACCAGGTGCCTGATGGGAGTTGTAGTTTTTTTGGTTCCTACAACCCAGTTAACTGGTCTAAGGATGTCTTTATCGTCTTCATGCTTTGGGATATGTATATATAGACTCTGTCTTCCATGTTCTGTTTTTTTTTCCCTTATATTTTAAATTTTATCCTTGGAGAATTTCATTCATGAATGTGTGTTTTAGTCGAATCCACTCCTCTATTCCCTTCCCCCCTTTTTTGATATTTGAAAGAATGATGAATTTGAGCAAAATCAATGGCTTGCAAAATTTCATTTGAGGATTTCTACTCTGCCCTTACATGGGATGAGACTTGTGAGACATTTTACCAGTGTGGCAAGAGATGTGACAGAATGAGTCACCATGTGGAAAGGGAATCCACCAAGAGACGCAAAGTACTTCATGAGATCAGAGACGAGCAAGCTAGAAATCGGACCGAATCTTGAAGGGCGTGTTGACTATGCAGACAGCTAAAGAAAAAAGATGCACTGAGGAAGTCGGTAATTCTGTGTCCTCAATTGACACATCCCGCATGGCAAACTCAAATGACTGCATTTTAAAAAGCAATCAGGAAAATCGGTGATTGGGAGGACTTGGGGGGCGGGTGTCCACATTAGAGTGATTTATTCCCACCCATAGAAAGCAGGTCCTCCTCATCAACCAGGCAGGCCATTTGAGTCCTGGGGTAGATGAATTCTCTCAGTTTCTCAAGAGAATTTATTTATAAAAGATATAAAAGATTTTTCATGGCGAATCTTCTGCTTAAAATTTCAGCAGGTTGTGTGGAAAACATTCAAAATGTGTGCTCCAGTTTAAAAACATCTCTGCTGGTAGGGAGTGGCCAAGCCCAGGGGGCTCTGTCAGCAGACTCGGCCATTGCCTTGTTTTAAAGCATGTGTGTGACTTAAAGTAGAGGTATGACATGAGAAAACGCAGGAACGCACAAAGGTCAGAAGCAGCTCGATCCCCTGGGAATGGAATTACAGAGTTATTGTTAAACATTTTATGTATGCATGTATGTGTAAACATGTGTTTGGGTGTGAGTTTGTACATGTGAGAGCAGTGTTACGGGTTCTCATGTGGGTGCTGATGTCTGTAAATGCTCTCAAATGCTGAGCCATCGCTCCAGCGCCTCCTCAGGCCTTTTGCTATTTTTTTTAAGTTATCACTTAATTACTTTGAAATATTTTGCTCTTATTATACATGTATATATAGGCATGTCTGTCTGGGTGTGAATTTGTACATGTGAGTACAGTTTCCAGAGGGTCTAGAAGAGGGTGTTGGATCTAATGGGACTTGTGAGGTGGTTGTAGGCTGCCTGGCATGGGTGCTGGCAACTGAACCCACACACTATACAAGAGCAGCATATGCTCACGTAGGCAGAGTTTCTCATCAGGACCTCTGGCTACCTCCCAAATAACCACACAGAGACTTAATATTAATTGTAAATGCTTGGCAGATAGCTTAGGCTTGTAACTAGCACTTACAACTTAAATTAAGCCATATTTCTTATCTAAGGTCTACCATATGGCTCACAGCTTGTTATCTCTTTTTGTACACGTCCTGCTTCCTCTACATCTGACTGGCAACTCCTGAGAGTCTGCCATTCCTCTTCGCAGTGTCCTCCTAGTCTGGCTGTCCTGCCCAATCTCTTCCTGTCCAGCTATTGGCTAGTCAGCTCTTTATTAACCAAGACTTAATACATATTTATAGTGTACAAAGATTGTTCCATAGAATGCTCAAATCACTGAGTCTTCTCTCCAGTCCCCAAATATGTGCTCTCTCTCTCTCTCTCTCTCTCTCTCTCTCTCTCTGTGTGTGTGTGTGTGTGTGTGTGTGTGTGTGTGTGTGTGTGTGGTTTGAGTGATAATGGACCCCATAGGCTCATATGTTTGAATACTTGGTCCCTGGTTGGTTGAACCATTTGGGATGATTAGGAGATGTGGACTTGTTAGAGAAGGTGTGTCACTAGGGGTGGGCTTTGAGGTTTCAAAAGACTTGTGCCATTACCAGTGTGTTCTCACTCTTTCTCTGCCTCTCCTTTGTGGATGAAGACCCCAGCCCACTGACGGATGACCGAAATCGCTGTGTTCTTAGGCTCAAAAGAAGATTTTTAGCAAAAGCTGTTTCAGATTTGCTTTTGGATCATGGCTATTGGGTCAAAACATATCAGTATAAGTGGGTTATCCGTCAGCTTTCCCAGTACTCACTGGGACACTTACTTGTAACAAATTCCTCTTTCTGGCACCATGTGCATGCACATGTGCACACACCCACATGTGTGGCGTATAGATTTGATTCTATTAGGATGACTTAGGAGTCCCTTTCAAAAGGGTCTCTTCTTGGAACGGACCCTGGAGCAGTGTCTGTGAACCCCACACAGAGCTATGGGCAAGACTGCCTGAATCTTTTTACTTTTTTTTAAATATTTTTATATTTTTAAATTACTTTTCTTATATTTTATTTTTATGTATATGTATTATGAGTTTACAGCCCCACATGCATGCAGGGTCCTGTGGAGCAATAGAGAACATCTGAACCTGTGGAACTGGAGTTAGAAACAGCTGTGAGCCCCTATGTGGGTACTGGGAATTGAACCCGGGTCCTCTGGAAGAGCAGATAATGCTCTTAACCCCTGAGCCATTTCTCCAACCCCAACTACCTGACTCTAGAGCTCAGAAGACAAGGTTCAGTTGTAAATCTATATAGTCAGATTGTATAAAGAAATCCTGGTGCAAACATTTAGGAAAGAACAGAGCTTGGGAAGTATAAAGTCAACAGTCATTTTTATTTTGTGCTCTGTGTATGTGGTAACACACAGCAGTAAAGATGAACGTAGTTGGCCTGAACCCCTCAGGCCACGGAGGCTAAGGGAAGCCCATGGATTGTGTGAGCACCCATCTCTATTACAGTGGCAGCCCACCTCTTGGATTTTAACTTCTGTGGAAAGTGCAGGCTTCCAGGAGTCCTGGGGAGAGAAGAGAGATGTAGGGCATTCAGAACACTCTTATATATTTATGAACTGTTAGATGAATGGGTAACTCAGTGCACCATGTAGGTGCTAAGGCTTATTGTTCTGTTGTCCTGATGCATGCTGTGGCCCATTCTTCCAATGCCCATCTCTACTTGCCTACACAGTGCCTGTGCGTACCACAGGGAGGGCCCCACACCAAGGATGGAGAAGCTGTACCATGACTTTCCTACTCCATGGCATCCTCTACCTTGTTTGCAATGGGTAATTCTCTGCATCTGAATTCATATAGCTAGAAGTTGTCCAGGAAGAGTCTTCCCTGAGACTTTTCGGTAGATGGTATCTGGTAGTCCCCAGCAACTTCTGTGCTGGGTCTAGGGATGGGCTGGAGAATAGCAAAGCTAGCTAGACTGTCATCTTGGGCAGCATAAAGGTCAAGGAAACATTGACTTGGATTTTGTAACAGTGGATCTCAACGAGTATATTCCTTCCACTAGAATTGCATGTGGCAACGTGTGTGTGTGTGTGTGTGTGTGTGTGTGTGTGTGTGTGTGTGTGTTTTCTCCTTCTACTGTCAGATCTGGGGAGCAAACGTAGGTCTACAAGCTCTTTTACCCACTGAACCATCTTGTCAAGCCACGTGTGGAAACCTCAAAAGTGCCTGAACCAGCACACTCACTGAAGCTGTATCTTTAGGATAACAGTTTAAGTCAGGGCCAAGACTCACCTACAAACTACAATTGAGGACTAACCTCCTTACACCACATACATTCTCTCACACCTTCCAAATGCTTTCAAGTGGTTCTATTTATCTCAAAATGGACTGCAAAACTGTATTTTATTCTGTTTTCAGTTCCGGGAATATGACATCCCAGATGAGCTTAACAACTATAGCTAGCCAGAACTTATCATTATTGGCATTCTGCAGATCAGACCTATCTAAGAAAATGTTCTGCAATGTTCTCTTTGTTGTGGCTGCTTCTCAGTAAAATTGTAGCTGGATGTGTTTAAGTAAATTATATCTTGATTTAATTTAGCTGTAATTTAAATTTAAGTAGTCACATCTTGCTAGTGGTTGCTATATTGGATAAGGATCTCTAATAAGTCTGGTGTCCTTTTTATCTTCTAAGAAATGAGGTGGGGTTACGTACATCTTAATGGGTTCACTGCCCTGGCATCCTGGGTCTGTGGTCCCATTGCGATATGTGCATATAACCCACCCTATTGTATATACTAGGTTTTATCTTGCTCGTGTGGCTATTTCCTAAGGGCCATGCTTGACTTTTCTATTATAACTGCCATTCCAGAACTCATCACTGGGCTTTCTTTGCAGCTTCTCCACACTGCTCATTTTACTCACGGGAGGTCGAGCATTTTTTCATGTTACCAACAGCTTGGACATAGTCTTCTCCTAAGTATTTTTCATATGTGGTGCCATCTGGAACTTTAAACAGGCACTTGGTATCATCTCTGAACAGAAGGTCCTTGGTGTCAGATGAGAACAAACAGAAACCCTTAGTGCAGCCAGCTGTACCCTTTCCAAACAAAGTCTATCAAAAGAACAGAAAAAAAAAATCTAAGTGAGCATACATCCCTGAGCAGTGGGCAACAGCTGCATTGCAGGAGGCTGAAAGCTCCAAGCCAGCCCTGGGAATAAAGAAAGGTACAGAATATGCATTGGCAACTTTCCAGCTCGCTTGTCTGACATTTACCCACCTGAACCTGAACCACACGTTTCCACAATACCCCCACGGTCCTCTGTAACATCCGTTGCCTTGTTGTCCTCTGAGAATTCCCACCCCTCTCAACTACCCACTCCTACCTTTTCTGACCTCTCTTCCATTTCATGACCTAAGTGCCTTGGAGGTGCTTACAGGAGGAGAGGAGAAATAGCATGCTCCTCCAGTATTGCTGCCACAAAGACATCAGATATGCGCCCTCTCAGAGGAATGGCAAAAAGAAACCACTAGAAGTTCATGTCTGGATAAATTTTAAATTTGTCTTGGACCAGCCACGTAGCTTCTCCCAGCATCTCAAGGTTGTAAACGATAGCACTAGAAGTCAGCCTAGCATTCCTGTCATACATGAGGAATATATATGTATGTATGTATACATATATATTTTTTTTTCTTATTTTACATATCAATCCCAGTTCCCTCTCCCTCCCATGCCCCCATCCCTGTCCCATCCCATCGCCCCCCAACTCCACAGGGAGGGTGATGCCTCCCAGGAGGGATCATCAAAATCTGTCAAGTCATTTGGAGTAGGGACTAGGCCCTCCCTCCTGCCCATGAGGGATATTCTTAAACACTCTTTGTTATCATCCTGTGTTCTCTTTTTAATTTTAAACTCTTTATAATTGATATAGCATTTTAAAAAAATCTACCCAAAGCAGAGGTTTAAAACACTGTAGAAGGTAAAGTATTTCACTCTCTAAACATGGGTACCACTGACATGAAACTCTATTAGCTAGTGTAACATTATTTGACCCAAATCTAATGTCAAACTAGAAACATCATTTGATATTATCACCATGGGCTTTTAAAGGGGCTTTTGAAGATATGCTATTTTGTTTTGTTTTCTTTTCTTTTAAAACTAATGACAAGTTAATAGGCAGGAAGCTTTACCAGAAGGGAGGGTGATGTTTGTGTGTAGAAAGAGTCCTGGGATTAAAGTATTCAAGCAGCCCCCATAAATGCCCCCTGCCCCCTGCCCCACCCCACAGGATCAGTCATCTTCATTTTCAGAAAAACATACTTGAGGAAAATAAAGGAATCCCTGAGTCAAGGTCAAAAGGGGCCAGAAGGCAGATTCAAGGCCCTGAGGACCCATGGGTCAGGTGGGAACTTGTCTCTAGTGACGAAGAGTTCCACAAAAGCAGAGCCAGGCCCAAGGGATCCAGTCCCAGCTAGCATGCCATGAGCCCCTCCATTAGACACACATTTCTTAAGCCTTTTGTGTGTATTACTTTACTCTTTTTTTTTTTTTTATTCACTGTTGCCATGTAATATGTGAAAAAGCTGAGAATGGAAAAATTAAGCCATCTATGCTTAAGATGACATGGCTAGAAGGCTGCAGAGCTAAGATTAGAACTTGGATATTCTGATCCACGATGTGTGGACTCCAAATTGTAGTTTTCAGAAAGTGAATGTACACACAGAAGCTTCGCTTAGTTCTGAACTCCGGATAACCTGCCCCGGCTAGGAATAGATGGTGGGAGACCCTGCAGGGTCCATACCTGCTGGTTATTCAGCACTGAGCTGACGCGGGCTGCCTTCTCTTTCCGTGAGACCACAACGTGGTTTGGAGCTCGGGCCAGGTAGCAGCTCTTAAACTCAGTCACAGGCTTCCTGCTGCCATCGGGGCACAGCAACTCAAAGTCTTTCTGCTTCAGATTCTTAGCCCACGCATCAGGGTTTTTTCCTGGGTAGAGAAAAGGGTGGATTAGTCAGATCTGGCCACTTTAGTTACTGGGGCAAGGAGCAGGGGTCAAGGGAAAAGAGCCATGTTCTATGGGTGTTGTAAAATAAATAAATAAATATTAATTCATTAATTTAAATAAAAAAAAAGACTTCAAAGCATTTTCTAAAAGGTCAGGCATGGTGGTGCACACCTTAAATCTCAGCGTTTGGGGGGGGGGCAGAAAGAAGTGGGTCTCTGTGAGTCTAAGGCCAGCCTGGTCTACAATAGTGAGTCTGAGACCAGCCAGAGCTAGAGTGAGGCCAGCCTGTTCTAAACCATAATGAAATTACAAAGCCTTTGTACTTCAGGCTCCATTTTCCCTATCTCCACACTGTCTCAGCACATCTCCAAGCAAAAGAACTGCCCCAGAGGATGCTTTTAAGTCAGCGTCAATATTTTCAGCTTGACTTCATGCTAGTCCCAGGTGAAAATGTCTTGCCTCAGCTGCTCGGCTAATCTTTTTCCGTATTCTCTTTGCAATAATCAGTTTAAATCCCTTTGCCCAACCTGAGGCTTTCCATGGTTCCTCCTGACATTTTATTTTGCCAGTTTTCATTTTTCTCCCATAAAGCAACCTTTCTCATTTCATTCATTGTTCACCCAACACTCTTTCTATAACTGAATAAGTACTATGTGAGACCAAGGTTATCATATTTTTTAATGTGTCTACTTATAAACCAAAATCCCTCACTTCTACATTCCCCAAATCCCACTGACTCAAATTCTTTTTGAAATCACAATTTGTGTTTCCATCCATGCCTTGTTTGTTTGTTTGGTTGGTTTTTGAGATAGGGCTTCTCTGTGTAGCCGTGGCTGTCCTAAAACTAGTTCAGTAGACCAGGCTGGCCTTGAATTCACAGAGATCTGCCTGCCTCTGCTTCCTGAGTTCTTGGATTAAAGGCATGCACTACCACTATACCACTGCCTGGTTCTATCCATGCCTCTTAAACTTGTTTACCTATATAATGGGTCTACATGTTGTTACAAGCTTACAGTTTTTCTTATTATTAGATCTTAACGTATATAAACTTCTGTGACTCTTTCTCAGCTACTTATATACCTTACAGTTTTTTTTTCTGTACCATTATGTAAATTGAGGCCATTCTTTTAAACAATTGAACCTTATTCTATAGTGTGACATAGAACAGTGTTTTTACAACAGCCCTCCATTTATAGATATTTGGAGTGTTTATAATTTTTTTTTTTTTGCCACTACAGTACTAAATGAGTTCTATTGTGTGTGAATGTGCTCCTGTGGCTGTGGAACAGTTAATCCAACTTAATTTTAATACAACCAAATTGCCCCCACCACCCTAAGTGGTAAAGACTTGCATAAGCATAGGCAAGGCCTTGGGTTAATTCCCAACTACTGTAGTAGTTATATGGAGGGTCAAGGGAAGGGACTGGCAAAGAATTATAATAATGTTCTCTATTTAGGGTCAGAAGCTATGAGAAGAGAACTCTGAAGGGTTTGCATGTGTGCCATTGGAGTCTGCAATGCCAGCACTCTTGGCATTAAAACAGCAGCTTGGCAATCAGAGGTGCTGGAGGAGATGGACGGTCAGATCTCCTGTATAAACTATGGACAAAAGGCTTTAGACTTTCAGTCTTTATGAAAAGTGGAGAGTCAAGGCCTGGAAAGCAGAGACTCACTCAGAAAAGAACAAGAGAAATCTAAGGCAACAAAGAACCGAGATTAGGATAGCCCTCTGGTAGCAAGAAAGACCCAGACTCTGGAGGGGACCGAAGGGCATGCACACATACCTTCAGTGTTTTGCAGGACAGTCTGGTGTTTCACAAAGGCCACATCTCCCTTCTCCACGAGACACCTGAAGAGGTCCAGATGCAGGGGGAGAAAGAAGACAGGAGGTCAGATTGACACAGTCATTCAGAGGCACCGTATAGATCCAGGTTAGCCACGTGACACACCAGCAACATGCAGAATAAGGAAGACAAAGGCTCTGGGTGGCTATGCAGTTCTACAAGTTCAACTCCACATACTACATATTTTTTTCTTTATCTTTTGTGTACAGGGGAAGGGTATAGATGCACATCCATGTGGGTTATGTGTGCATGTGCACATGTGTACATATGTGCAGGAGCTAGAATCCAACACTGAGATCTTCCCTGGTCCATCTTTTAGAGGCATGGTCTCTCACTGAACCTGGAGCGCCTCAGTTTGGCTAAACTGGCTGACTAGTGAGCTCCAGGGATCCACCTGTCTTTTCTCCATCCCACACCCACAAGTGCTGAGGTTAAAGACATACACATTAGTGCCTGGCTCTTATGTGGATTTTAGGCATCCAAACTTAGGGCCTCATGTATGTGTAGCAGGCATTTGCCGACTTAGCCATCTCAACCCTCTACATCATAATTTTTAGTACAGTTTCTCGGTAGGTTATATCTTTTCCTCAACATGAACATGGGGAACATGGAAACAGTTTTCTGGTGATAACGCCTCATAACTCCCCATTATCTGAAATGTGGGTAAAAAACCCCATCCCTTCAGATTTTTGAAGGCCTGAATCCCAGCACAACATTTGTAACTTGATCATAAATTTCAATTTGTGATATCCTTAATCCAGTTTTTACAGATCCCATATCTACATACAGACCCCAACACCCACACCAGGAAGAAGCTCACAACTGCCTGTCACTCTAGCTCTGTGGGATCTGACGCCTCCTCTGGCTCCCACAGGCATCCTGCACACAGCGCGCGCGCGCACACACACACACACACACACATACATGTAATTAAAATGCTATTTTTTAAGTTTAAAAAATGATACATATTCCATAAAACATTGTAGAGAGGAATTTAGAAATCACGTTCCTCATTGTTCTCTACCTCAAGAAGTATGGTTCTTTATTATCATGGAAAAGCTTGGGCCAGACCCCTTATTCAGTACTTGGTCAACTATGGAAAGGTTCCACTGTTTTGGCAGTAGTGACATTGGGACTTTGCTAATTAGTGCTGACCTATGCATTGTAGGGGCTTATCTACCTCTATCTCTTCAATGCTGGAGGCACCCCCCTGCCAACATCACCACCATCAGAAGCATCTCTAGACATCGCCAGTGTTCTCTAGGAGGCCAATCATCCCCAGTTGAGAGCTGCTAAGCAGTATCCCCTGTCAGTCTCACTGTCTGATAGCTGGCTCTGGCAGGCAGTCCTCTGTGGGAACCCAGATGCCCCTTCACATGTCAGCTCTCAATTTGGTGAGAAAAATCTCTCATCCTAATATGTACAGCACTTAACCTATCAATAACATAAGACCTCACCTCTGTTCCTAAAAGGAATCTGATCATTATAAATATCAGGATTGGAAAACTCACCTGAAAGCCCCTGTGTAGCCAAAATATCCCTCTTTGTTGTTCTGAGCACATTTGTTCGGGCCAATGCACAGGTCACAGAGAGTGGAATTCTTCTCATATCCAGGAGCACAGCCTTGACTGAAATATTCATCTGGACCAAAGAGCAGGAGACAGTTAGTTCTTTTGTGTCCATTCTAGTGGCTTACTAACACCTGACAGGGTATCAAATAATTCTCTCCGTAGCCTGCCACCCACCAACCCAGAATGGCCAGACTGTAGGGCTTTGAAGGAAATCTATCAAGGCTGGGAAAGGATATGTGAGTCACCCACTTCAGGTTGTAGGGGACCCCTTGGACATCATGATGGTATCATCTCTAGCCTGAAGAATAAAGAAATGGAATTTCTAAGATGGCACCACTGTTTTTGTTTGTTTGTTTGTTTGTTGTGTTTGTTTGAGTTTCCCCTTTCATTTCAAAGCATAAAAAAGAATAGGGAATTTCCCCTGCATTCTGGCTGCTTCCATGGCCGCGAAAGTCCAGGAGGTCCCGGGGGCCAGGGGGCCCAGGAGCCAGAGGGGCCTGTGCTTTCTGCCCATGGTTCCAGGTGCACTTTGTTTCTGAGGTACCCGAGCATCTTAGTTCCGAGATGTGTCCTAATTTCCAGTGCCTGCAGATGCTAGGGCTGCAGGGTTCACAGTCAGGTTTATACTTCTCTCCTTTTTAAGGAGTTGCCCAATTTTGGAGGCACTAGGGAAGAACTCAGGAAGCCAACATAAAGCAAAGCCATTGTCAGCCTCTATCTGCTGGGATCTCCTACCCAGAAACTTAAGAAAGCAGAAACAAACCCCACTCAGGATATTCAGAGGACACACAATAAACTGAAGAATCCCAGGAGCTGAGCAGGAACTCAATGAGATGACAAACACTTTAAAAGACCCAGGAACCACCCCTCCCATAATAATATTCTAGAACCCCCATGGCAGGAATTGCTTAGTATTTAGCCAATGTCCATTTTGCTTTGCTCCTAAACAACAAAAATCTAGTTTGATTTGTGGTAGATACGTGTAAGTAGGTGTATGATAACATGCCTAATACCTGCACAATGGAGAGTTACATAAAAAAATAATTGGTTGGATGTCTAGAAGGCTCCTTTCAAACACTGATCACAGTTGGTATAAATTTCCATTTCCTCTCATTCTTTGCCTGAGTCATGAATACCTTGGCAACCATAAGATAGCTATGAACATGGAAATGTTATGTGGGGAATTGTAGAACAGAAAAAAAGGAAGGAACCTTCAAGACCTTATCACCCATGGAATGCTCACATCTGGTCATCTTTGTGGCAGAGAAAAGTAAATGTATATTCACTGACACCATTATGTGCAACTGAGACAAATCACCGTGACCCCATTCCTCAGCTCTTCAGTCCTTCTAGTCTTTTTGCTATTTTTTTTCGAGGTTCACTGTTATGAAACTTCACTTTTAGTGGACCTGGATCCCACAGCCTTCCTCAGGACCCCTTTTCTCTACATGCCAAGCTCCTTTCCCAGTTCTGCTCACCAAACTTGCAGCTTTTTGTCCTGCTGTACAACAGGCCCATGGGGATGTTCCAGCCAGCAGTTCTGTCCACTGCAGTATGGCAGGACTTCTTGCCTTTCAGATTGTCCCAGGTGATGTCAGGGTCCGATGCCTTCACCACTGCCACAGCGTAATACCCTACCAGAAAGATGTCCCAAAACAACTATTAAAATCGCTGGGGCCTCTGTATCTACTTCCAACAGAAGCCACTGACTTCATAAAACAGCAAAGATGTCCTAAATAGCACACTGTGTCATGAAAGGAACTCCACATCAGCTGATTCTGATATAGAAGAATTTCAAAAAGAACTAAGATCACATGGTGCCCCATGATTAGGTACAGTTTTTAAAATGGCTTTATATATCAAATTAAAAATAATATAATGGACTGGGGAGATGGCTCAGTTGGAGAAGTACTTGCCATGTGAGCATGAAGACTGGAGTTAAGTTCCAGAACACATGTAAAAGTGTCAGGCATGGTGGTGTGGTATATGGTGTGTGTGTGTGTGTGTGTGTGTGTGTGTGTGTGTGTCTGTGTGTGTCTGTGTGTGTTGTGTCAAGTGCTTATAATCTTCATACTAGGAAGATGGAGACAGACAGTTACCTGGAGCTTACTGATAGCCAGCTTTACTCACAAAGCAGACTCCAGAATGCAAGAAACTGTCTCATAAAACAAAGTGGATGGCTCTTAAGAAATGCCACTTGAGGTTGACTTCTGACCTGTTTATGTCATATCACAAGCATGCACATGTGCCCACATACACATGGACACCCATAAAATGTGAAAATGAATAGCAAAAGTATTAACACATTTTCATTATAGAAATGGCTGACATAAAATCCTAACCTATATACATAAGGTTAAGGTTCGTGAAGTTAAAAACCCAGTACTCACTTTCCAAAGTATTAAATCAGAGAAATGGATACCAAAAGGCTAATGTAATTCTGACAGTTTATAAATGAACATATATAGGGTTAATCAGGCCAGACATCCGCTCATAAGGAGAATATGGTTTTATGCCAGAGTAAATATGCAAAATGGAAACACCAAGAACAAGTTGCTTGTCCTTTTCAGCAGCCCAAACATATCCTCTAATAGGGGCTAGGACACCAACCTGTGATTCTATTTTCTGTTTTAACTCATTCTCATTCAGAATACTCTCTCCAACAGAACACAATCCTTACTAGACGTGGAATAGTAATGGCTCTTTCTCAGTGTGCTAAAAACTGGGAGGTTGTGTTCCGTTTCAGGGGCGAGGCCAGAGTTGTACACCGGTGGTCCCGTGGAATACAGCCTAAGGGAGCGGCACTGGGGCTCAGAGTCACTTTGGTGTCAGACTTCCTGCTTGCTCTTGTGTTCTCATGTCATATCCATCCCTAATCAAAGCCCTAGTCTGGTTAGTCTGGTTCCTGCACCCAGCCTGGTTGGACATTCAGAAAACGCCATGCTCCTAGACATCAATATTTTGAAGCTGTCTACTCAGTCCTATAAGAACCACATCAGCAAGGTCCCTTGGCCTGTGCTAGCTCTCACATAAAACTCCGGAGGCTTTGAGTAATTCAAAATGGTGGAAAGCAACGGGAAGAGCTTACATTTGTTTCCAGGATCCCAAACCATTCATAAATTCTGAATCCCTGGATCCTCTCACGAGAGGACAATACCTATGTTATAACACAAAATGAGAAGTCCCATGTCTAAGTCATGGAAAGTGTAGGAGCACAGCCATCCAGATCAATTACAATCCTCTCAGCACTTTGCATAGTAAAGTCAGATCTCTCCATTGACTTATAAACTTGCCTAACCATGTCCCCCAGCAATGAGAATTTACCTTCCAATGGCCGGGATCACCAATTTCAACTCACCTTGTTCGTGGCTTCTACAGTCAGTACTCTCTGGAAAAAAGAAAATAAATCATTAAACATGTATGTATAGGTTGGATGATCATGTCCTTCTCGTGAAGTCACTAAAAATAAAAAGAGAAGATAAAACTGCACATGTCACTGGTTGACAATAATAGACTTTCCAGATGTTGTGAGTGTATCTGGCTGTTGACCTCTAGGATTCATGTGCAAACTGCCTTTCAAGCATCTTGCTCACTATGTACCAAGACTGCAGTGGGATGTTAACTGGATCTATTTGCTCTGCAACAAGGCAGCAGGGAAAGCAAGAATGCTGAACATTGCAAGACTTTCCAGACATCCCACATGCCTGAGGATTCAGAAAGCAAAGTCAGCCACAAGCCACAGAAGCCAGGCACACACCTTTAATCCCAGCAGCCAATAGCTAGGAAGTTGTGTTATACACCTTTAATCCCAGAACCCAGGATTAAGAGGTAGATGGATCTCTGTGGGTCCAAGGCCACCCAGATCTATACAAGATTGATCCAGGCCTAAGGAGAAACAGCTCACACAAAGATGATCTCAGCACCTGGGTCACATGCCTTTAATCCCAGCATTAGGAAGGTATATTAAGATAGGAACAAGATCCCAGTATCAGGCATTGATTCTCCAGCCACACTGAGGAGAGAGCAGTTTGGGGCTTAGTAAGCAGCTCGTGGATCAGCCCTTTTAGTCTAAGTTTGATGATGAGAGCTAGCGGCCAGGTTCTTAGCTCCCCGAATCTTCTGGTTGAACCCCAATATCAGTCTCTGGGTCCTGTGTGTGTGTGTGTGTGTGTGTGTGTGTGTGTGTGTTACGTGTTGCATTTGCTTAACTCTGTGAACATCTGATTGATCTAATAAAGAGCTGAATGGCCAGTAGCTAGACAGAAGAAAGGATAGGAGGGGCTGGCAGGCAGAGAGAATAAATAGAATGAAAAATTAGGGGGAGGAAGATGAAGGAGCAAGAAAGGAAGAGGCCAACCACCCAGCCACACAGCCAGCCACGGAGTAAGAGTGAAAGTAAGATTACAGAAGTAAGAAAAGGAACGAAGCCCAAAGGCAAAAAGTAGACGGCATAATTTAAGAAAAGCTGGCTAGAAACAAGCCAAGCTAAGGCCGGGCATTCATTAGTAATAATAAGACTCTGGGAACTGGATGGCAGCCCCCCCCCCAAGAGCAAAAGGTAAAAAACAACCAACCAACAACAATGGAGCTCATGCAGGAGGCACTTGGTGGAGGCTGTGAGATAAAGTGGGCTGTGGCTGTCCTCTCCCCACAGCCGGGAAGGAAGGGAGGGAGGGAGGGAGGGAGGGAGGGAGGGAGGAAGGAAGGAAGGAAGGAAGACACTGTAGCACTCACCATAGTTCTCTGCCATAACAGGCACTAGCCCACACTGGCCTGCTATGTAGGCATATCCTCCATCCAAGGTCATGGCATCAGCCTCTCCATTCTGCAAAGACGGCGAGCAACAGCAAATGAAGAGCTGCTGTTTCCTGCATCACCTGCCCTTCTAGGCTGTCTCTTTGGAAGTCCTTCCCATCACAACTTATAAGCCAGGGCAACAGTAGATGTTGGTACCGTACCCCCAAATGATCAGTTAGGTACACTCAGATGTATATATAGACTCAGATTTTGAGTTAGCAGGCTATGCATTTAATTTGGTTTGATTTTTCTTGCCCTGACTCAGACAAAACAATAAAATAGAATGTAGCTAAAAAATAATGTAATATTTTAAAATATAGATAGAAGAGCAGGGTTGGTGGCCTGCTTTGTTGTGATGGGTAGCTTAGGAAGCAGAATTATTTTTAAGAGCTCAAAAGCAGAGCAAAGAAACTCCAGAAGGATCAGTTGACAGTGGCAAGAAATCCTAGTAATGTCAATAGATGTTACTTTGTTTCCATATGTTTACCTGTTTGGAATCAAATACCCAACAGCAACTACAGCTCAGTTGGTCAAGTGCCAGCCTGGGATACAGAAGGCCCGGGGTTCTGTCCTGAGCAACCCCTAAGCCTAGGTAGTGGCATAGAGACACCATAATCCCAACACTCCATCCAGCGGTAGAAGCAGAACGATGGGTGTAGTAGGTCATTCTCAGCCTTAGCCAGTAACTGACCAATATCAGCCACATGAGAGGCCCTGTCTCCAAATACTACCACTTTCAATAGCATCTACAGTGGTAACTATAGCAACAGGAGATTCAACTCAAAGAATAGCCAAATTGCAGGGATTGGGGGGGGTGGGAGTGGGTGGAGCTCTGGACCAAGAGAAGGAGGTAGGGGCTTGAAAGCTTGGAGTTTCCTTGCCTTCTCCAGGCATGCCACCCTGGAAGAAATGCAGTGTATTCTCTAAGACAGAAACACCAAATCAGGGTTTGGAAGACATGAGGGCTTACAAGACACGATGAATTGGGAAGTGCTAAGCAGCCTATATGACACAATCTTAATAAAAGGGTTTTCTTTGAGTTATATGATGAAGTGGGGTGTTTATCAGGCTTGGGACTTTGAAGATTCTCTACAGGAAAATAAGGAACACTGTTTTGATCAGTTAAGTGAATATGTGCTTGCAAGATCAAAATCCTGAGGTCTTCCATGCTCATCAGGGCATGCCATGAGTCCAGTGACACTCGGAAGGACATGGCTCAGATTACCCTCCCACTGTGCTAACGTAAAGAGCAAAGGAAACCTGGAGGCATCCTTCAGACCCACACACTCCCGGAAAGGGACTTTCAGCACCACTCTAGCTACACTTGCTAGAAGGGACATACCACAATCTTGTCAATGCAGTCCTCGGTGGTCTCTGCCGATTCACACTCTATTTGCCCTCCGCTGCTAACGCTCCATTCGTCACACTTGAGTCTCTCGTGGTGGCTCAGAGCACACCATTTCACTGCTGCACTGCTGCTGGGGGCTTCTGGGCCTGTAGTTCCAGAAGAAGGACCAGAGGTCAAGAAAGAGAAGGCCCCAGCTGCCATCTGGGATATGTCAATGATGCTAACTGCTTCATGCGAATGATGAGATGGACGGATCCCATCCAAGGAACTCTTAGTCGTCAGGAGAAGCAAAAACAGTAGACAGTCCAATGTTGGTTGATTTCATTTACATTTAACTTTTCCCCCTTTGTAAGATTTTTTTTCATTAATTTTAATTATGCATGTGTGTATGTATCTGTATGTGGGTTTGTGCATGTAAGTACAGTGCCTTTCGAGGCCAGGAGAGGGCATCAGATATCTGGAGTTGGAGCTACAGGCAGTCCTGAGCTGTCTAATGTGGGCACTGAGCCCAAACTAGACTCCTCTCAAGAGCCTTACCTGCTCTTAACCACTGAGTCATTTCTCTAGACCCCAGACTTTTCTTTTGAAAAGCCAACTCTCTAACCCCAGGACACCCTAATATCTGCACACTTTTCTTTCTTCCTTCTTTTTCAAATAACAGTTTTAACCAACCAGTTATTTCTATGTTCATTGTCATAGATTTCCACATGGGAGAATATAAGCTCTACTAGAGAAATGGACACTCCCCCCCCCACATCATTCACCCTCCCATTTTAGCAGTGCTATCATGGGGTCAGTATAATATATGTCCAGCAGAAAGAAAGAAAGATAGATAGATAGATAGATAGATAGATAGATAGATAGATAGATGATAGATGGTAGGTAGATGGATGGATGGATGGATGATATAGATTATAGATAGATAGATGATAGATAAATTGTAGATAAATGGTAGACCAACTGACCGACCGACAGACTGACAGACAGACAGATGTGCACATGCCCAACTTTTAGGCTCAATCCCCAGATCACTCCCTCACAGATCCTCTACCCTTGCCCACGAGGGTCTGTTTGACTTTGTTTTCCACTCTTGTAGGACCTTGCTATTTTATTGTTGTAGTGTGACCATCTCTCAAACATGTGTCCTCTCCCTGGCCTGAAAGTCCCAGGACAACAGAATCTAATGTGCTTTTAAATCCAGCATCTAGCAGAGTATGTGGCTAGATGGTTCATATATATCCACCAAATACATAATTATTAGTCAAGCTTCCATCATCCCAGGGTGAGATCGACCTCCCTAGACCTATAGCTTTCTTATGCTGTGTTGACCACAGTATTGGCAAGGTATGTGCAATCAGCAGAAACTTTGAGTTATTTACTTTTTAATAGTCTAAATGGCTTCATAAAGGGCACCGGAATACTAGTTTATGCAAAGAAAATGATACTAGGATCAACCCAGGTCATTTAAAATGTGAACAGCCTTTAAAACCCTTGGTGACTCCCAGGCCCTCTCATGGTTGATGCCACCCAGCATCAGTCCAGCTCTGGGCTCACAAGCAGGACAAAAATAGGAACATCAGAAGAGGCTGACAGTTCCCATAAAGGCTATGGCTGTTTCCTGACCTTGCCTGGGTCCCCACATTCCTTGGGGACACCTGGCTTTTCCTGAGTACTTACATTTTCCTTCCCGGAGGTGCCGAATGGCAGTGACATAGTTATGGCCAAGGTATAACCTGTAGTCCATTCTTGGGGGGACCCTTAATAGCCCGATGGCAGAGTTCTTAAACAGCAGGTCTTTCTCAATAGGAGAGTCGAACAGTTGGAATTCTTTTGATTTGCCTTTGCCAAAATGTTCCTGTTTCGGGGGGGTGGTGGAAAACAGAGCAGTGAATAGCAATAGGAATCAGGAAGGGTAAAAAGCAGGACTGAAGAGAAGAACAAGGAAAAACTCCGGGAAACTGATTTTCAAACCACGAGAAACTTGGAGGAACCAGGAAAGAAGGCATCTAGGCTTGCTATCCATCACCTAGCACCTTCTTTGTCCAGTACCTTGTAAGGACCACCCCACATTCTCCTTCCCTGTGCTTCTGAGCCTGCCTGCCTGAGTGGGTGAGAGCTAGCTGAGAACACGAAGTGAGTCTAGTGCAGAGGCTGGCACTGATGGTTGCCTTTTAAACTCTTGATGGGCAGATAAGTAGGCTGGACCGGAGGAAGCTGTCTTAACCAACCCCAGCCAAGAGGCAGAGGACTGACAGTGGGAAGCCAGTCCTTTTGCAGTCAGGCTGTGCATGCATACGTGCATTCAAGTGTGCATTCATGCACGCATGTGGGGGGGGTATTTAAAGAGAGATTCTCTTTCTAGGTTACAAGAGAGCCTTTTGGTTTTTCTCTGGGCCTTGAGGGCCTACCTTAGACAGAAAGGGTATCCCTGATCGAAAGATGGTGGATATTGATACCAGAGAAGACTTCTGCTACTCTACAAGGAGTCCCAGCTGGGGATGTTGGAGAGGTCGGTAACACATGACAGGGTCCCCACTGTGTTCTGAACATATACAAGGACTATTCTAATATGTCCAGATGTCAAGACAATCTGAGCACAGAGTTGTAAGTAGGGGACAGGAGGGTGGGTAGAATACCTGGGCCACTTTGAGAATCTCCCAGATCAAGTCCTCCTTGCCATCCACAGTCCGAGCCACAACAGCATGAGAAGGGATCCGGGCTAGGTAGCACTGCTCAAATTGATCCACTGGCTTGCGGGTGTTGTCAGAACATAGCAACTCATATTGGTCCCTGTCAACCTTCTGTGGCAGGACCTCTAAGGAGGGGAAAGTTCAGGTGAGCCCGTGGCAGGGCTTGGTCTCCCCACCTTTGTAGTCCCAGTGTCATACAAGCATGAGCTGAAGGACCTGCAGGGGTCTCCGGGGGCCAAGGAGCACAAAGGAAGATGAGCCCACACCCAGATGAAGGCTTCTGTGGACCCGTGGAGCAATGGCTGCCTCCATCCCATGAGTCTGAGCTGAGCAAGACTGCTGACAAGCCAAGGTCAGCCAGACCAACTTCCAAACCTTGGCTATGGCAAATCTGCCCTAGAGGTGGAGCCATTGTGTGGTCTGAGTGATAGAAAGAGGCCCGCGAATCTCATGGAGACCCCAGAAGTGCCTGCCTTTGCCAACGTAGAAACTCAAGCAATGGTAAGAAAGCCTGCGTGCTCATGCCCACCCCACGACTATGAAAAAGGAGGCAGGGAGCCTTCCAGTCCCTTCCCATCACTTACCAAATATGGTTGTATGCTTGACAAAGGCCACATCCCCACCTCCATCTTTCAGACACCTATGGGAAAGAAGGGTCATGAACAAAGACTCTGGTGGTCTGCTGGGATCCAGAGTACTGCTGTGAGAGGGGATGGGCTCACACAAGGTGAATGCCCCAAAGTGGCAGAAAGAAGGTGAAAACATTTTAATGTAAAAAAAAAGCTTCAAATCCCTAGTGTGGAAGACATTGGTATTTCTGCCCTGGCTATGTATGAGAGAGAGGCGGGGGGGGGGGGGGGGCACACACACACACACACACACACACACACTAATCACAGGACACCAAGTCCCCTCATAACCAAGAAGCTACTTGCAACTAATGCTTGCTTGGATAAATCAGTTTTTACATTTCATGGCAAGTCCCCATACCCCAGGAGTAGTTAGCCAATGCAAAGCAGACTCCATGTTTTGTTTTGTTTTGTTTCCCTGTGTGCTTTTTGTTTGTTTTGCCCTTTGTTGTTGTTGGTGGTGGTGGGGTAGTGTGTGTGTGTGTGTGTGTGTGTGTGTGTGTGTGTGTGTGTGTGTGTTTGTGTGATCTAGGAGGAGGAGTTGGGGGAAGGAAAGCCACATGTACTGTTGGGGTGGGGACAGCAGAGTGTCCAGTATGTCGAGCATGGTATACTACTGTCATAGAGGGTAGAAGCTCTGTCACATCCCCAGGCACTAGAGGTGTGTTAGTTCCTTCAGATGCTGCCCAGCTTGAAGAGACGAGACACCAGCCAGTGCAAAAGTTCTGAGGAGAGACAGAGGACTACCAGAACAGGGCTTGACCTTTGGCCTCAGATGGAAGGGAATATAGCCTGGCCTTGAGAGTCCCAGGTTGTACCACTGCCTCCTTGGGAGAAGTTTAAGCCCCCTTTAGGCAGGTGGGATCTGCTCTGGGTCAGCAAGGAACTTTCAGCACTGGCCACCAGAGTGGCGGTCTCACTCACTTGAAGGCGCCTGTATAGCCAAAGAATGGTTGAACAGAGGAGCAGCCACAGCCTGAACACAGTTGACACAGTTGGGGGAAGGCCACCGGATCTGCACAGGGGACACAGCTGCCGGAGAAGAAACTGGCCACAGCTGCTCAATACAAAGAAGTGGAAAACGAGGTATAAGCACAAAGCTTTCACCCAGCCTGGGCTTGTGAGGGAACACGGAGGCATGAAGCCAGAGCAGTCCTGCCTCTGCCTTGCATGTGCTAAGCAGGGCTTCTAAACAGGAACAGGCTAACCCCTGCATGGCAGTTAACCTCCCAGATACACCAGCCAGTACTTCCTGTCAACCCTAGGCGGTTGTCCACCCACTCTGCTCCCAGATCTTTTCCGTGGGGGGGGGGGGGAGGTAGGGGGGTGTTTAGAACAGCCCAGAGAGGTGCAGGACAACCTCATGACCACCAGGTGGCACCAAAGCACCCTTTAGCAGAATGAATCATATCTCCGGACAGAAACTGGGGTTGGAGGTGGGGGGCAGGTCCAGCTCTTGTAAATTTGGAAAGCCACTGTGGACCCATCTGCCCTTTTCTTCCCTCCTCGGGACAGACTCTGCTGGGGTATTGGGAGCTCACAACAACAAACAGGGCTCAGCTACTACTTACCATGGGCAGCTGGTGCCATGAACCTGCCGCTTTCTAGATGTTTTGACCTCTCTCTCTAGCATCTTGGAGTTCAGCCTTCCTGACTGACTTAATCATGACTATGTGACCTCAGCAGAACATCCAGAACAGAGGTGACAGCTTACCCTTCTCAATGGGTTGGCGAGGCTCCGGAAATTGACAGAAAAGTGAGCCGATGGGGATGTTCCACCCTGCAGACCTGCCCAGGCCAGTGTGGCAGGACTTCTTGCCTTGGAGCTCGTTCAGGTTGAAGCCTGTGCCCTTCTTCACCACAGCCACAGCCAAGTAGGAGGTTTGTGGTTCTGAAAGGGAACGATGTGAATGGAGGACTTTTATGTGGCACAGGGAAGCAAGCAAACCCCAGTCACCAGGGCTTGGCTCTGACTGAGGGAAGAGAGACCCAGGGTAACTTAGGTGGAGTTGGCTGGTAAGAAGCCAGAGAACCCTCTGTAGGCTTAAAGACTGAAGGTACATTTGTAGCATCGTTCCAGGAAACACACAGGGTCAAGAAGCATCTGAGCATGGATCAAGAATGCTCTATTTACCCTACTCTTGCCAACCAACCCAAGGCTACCAGGAACGCGGGGCTGCAACAACAGAGGCTCACATTCACTGTCCCCCTCAAAGTATTTTATGTCCTCTGGTGATAGGGACAGTTGGAGCAATCTCAGAAGACTTCTTGGACTATTGGGCTCTCACTATGCACCACAGGGTGGATTTGCCCATGTCCATGGCATCTGAGGCTCCAGGGAGCTTGGGCATATCACCAGATCCAATGAAGGACAAACTGGACCCCAGGCTACTCCCTCTGTACAGGGAGTATGCCTGACTCAGAAGGTCCATAGCCACCTTCAACCAGAGGACTAGAAGGTCGTCTCATTCCCCGCTGACTCCCCAAAGAGTGCTTGCTAGTATCTAATATCTAATACCTAACTACGAAATGAGAGTTAATGTCTACTAGGAGTCAAAGCCACAACGTCCATCCTGGGTACTTTGGGAGAACTTACTTTCAGGTGTCCCATAGATCTCTGCTGCCACAGGCTTCAGATTGTTGGGAGTCAGGCCTGCCTCATACACCCAACCGGCATCCAAGGTTACAGCATCTGCTTCACTTGCCTACGATGAGAGAATCATCCTCAATGAAGCCCTTGCTTCCAAAGAAGGCTCCCTAAGCCAGGAAAAATGGGGAGGGACTAGTGATGCCCCACGGACGTAGGGCCAGAAAACCCCAAGTCTAGCCTACTGGCTTGATTTGATTCCATCTCTGACAAAAAGACTGCTTTGCTACTGTTTACTTTTATTCTGCCTAGAGAAAAGAACAGAGTGTTTTTCTCTTTCTTGCTGGTGATATGTCCAGTGCCTGGCCCATACTACTCTAATGTGGATTTACTCTCCACAATTGTAGAGGTTTGGCCTGGCAGGTTTGGTGGGAGGAAGGCCCCCCCCTCTGGAGGTGGGCATGTGTGTCACAGGTTCTGACACAGTCATAATGAGCACTCAGGGGCCTGTAGGCGATTCTTATACCTGTTTCCATGCTTGACCACACAGAAGGGTCCTTTCATGTTTTGAGTGTTCCTGTCAGCTCCTCTAGGGGGTGCTGTTGTGGCTGCCTCTGAGGGAGGTGGACACCTTGGAGGCTTTTCATGGACTCGGGACTCATCAGTTTTCCCCTACAGCCCTGGGCCCATGAAGCAGTAGGAGCTAGCTAGTATGCTATGATCACACAGACCTGTTCTCCAAGAGGAGGATTCAAGGTCAGGGGCCTCTCATTTCTGGAATAATTGTCTACTCTGACACCCCACCCCCCCAGTTCGATTTTTACAGGTAAGCATAAACAGTCACATAAAGGTTAAGCAACTTTGGAATGTCGCATGGCTGCTAAGACATTCAGCTGGAACTTGGGGCCAGATAGGCTGGTTTATTTCTTACCGTTGTCTCTTCTACCTTGCTTGTTTACTCTATGCTTTTGTGAATGGTCATCGTTTTTGGTATTGTTGTTTGTTTTAAGGCAGTTTATATATGTATGTTGATTTGGAGCTCATGAGCCTTCTGCCTCAGCCTATAAAGTACTAGAGAGAATACACCCCCATGGCCCACTGGACTCTTGTGTTTAAATCAATAAGCCACTTAAACTATTCCAACTACGTCAGCAGTTTCTTTCCTCTTCCCTTAAAGTCTTTCCTTTTAAAAGGTTTAGCAAGGTTTATTCAAAAGTAGAGCACTCCCCTGCAGTGGGGAGGAATCCCATAAATTGATTGCCCTTTACTTAAAGTCTTAGAAAGAGCCCATCTGCCTTTGATCTAGAACACTGGTTCACAACCTTCCTAGTTCCAGTCTCCTTTAACACAGTTCCTCATGCGGTGCTGACCCCAACCATAGAATTATTTTGTTGCTACTCCAGAACTGTAATTTTATTACTGTTATGAAGTGTCATGCAAATATCTGTGTTTTCCAATGATCTTAATGGACTCCTGTGAAAGGGTTGTTCAATAACCCCCAAGGGGGTCATGACCTACAGATCAGAACCACTGAAAAAGACACTTGAAAACTGAGTTCTTACTGATCAATTTGTAAAGCAAAAACTACTGTAATCCGGACAAACCTGGCCCCGCCTCTCACCTATCTGCACATGGCAGGTTATGTACCCTAGATCTTTAAAGAAAGACTCCACCCACTTCTACTCCCCCCCTCCTCCCCTCCTCTGAAGGGGCAGAGAGGACTTTTCTGTCTGCCCCCTTCTGTCTGTCTCTGTGTCTCTTTACCTCTTTTTTTTCTTTCCTTCCCTTATTTTCTTACCTCCCCCTCAATTAAACTTCCCATATGAGTCACATCTACAGGTCTCTGTTTCCCAACCCCCTTATACTGTATTCCTAATATGCAGCCCCAACCCGGGCCACTTTATTCCTAACAACTATGGCTTCATGGTCTCTGTCATGTTATAGGTAGATAATAAGAAAGTATGCCTAAGTGAAATCAACTAATGATAGAAGTAAAATTTTTTAATGGCTTCGGTTGCTATGTTGTCATAAAATAGGCGCATGCGTTACCACTGTGGCCATTTTTAAATGGACACTTAAGTGATTCACCTTGTTATGAAACCATCACCACTGTCTACCTGCAGAACATTCTCATCTTACCTACCCGTACTGCCCCAGTCCCAGTAATGATCTTTCTCTCTTTCTCTCTCTCTCTCTCCTTTAATATATCTCCAACAGGAAGGACAAGGCATCTGTCCTCCTACCTCTGTGTGGAAATGGAACCCTAAATATCTAACTGCCAGTCAGCTAACTGCTGGCCTCACCAGGTTAATTTGAGTGATCAACACAGAGCACATTGTCCCATGCCTTATGGACAAAAATCACAGCCTCTTCCATCTCTATTTTTGATGTGAGTTGGAGAGCAGCAAGGGTTGACTACCCCACACATCTGCCTCTCGCCTGACCTCCATATCCCACGATGATTAAAGAAAGCAACCCCTGCAGCCTTGTGCCACTGAGGCAGCAGGACTTACTGAAATGGCCTTGATGCAATCCGTATAGGAGGTTTTCTTTACACAAGCAAGCTGGGGACCATCAGCTGGAAGGACGGCTTTCATGTGGTCACGGAAACTGACACACTTGGTGTGTTCATGCTCTGACACTGCACACCATTTTACGGTCTTGTCAGGGACAGCCAGACATAGTCCTGCAGGAGAGAAGGCAGGGGCATAAGGGACCCACTCTCCGTGCCGGGGGAGAGAAGGCGCCGCAGCACTTTCCGAAGGGTCTTGACGGCCACCTCCCCTTGGTTGTGCCCTCATCCCACACCTTGTTGGGGGTCATGACAGAATGCAGGGTTGAACCGAGCAGTTAGCTCACCGAGCAGCCTCTCATTGTCCCACCCTACTGTGGGCTGCTTGGAGGGATGCGGGGGTAGCTGAAGATGACCGGCAGCCCACTCTCCTCCCACCCCCTTGCCCCCTGGCATGGCTGAAGGTCCACATCAAAATGTGAGCTTCAGTGTGCATGTGCCATCCTCAGCCACCTCGACACAGGGCTCTGTGCTACAGCTCTGGGAATCTGGGGAGAGGGTTGCCATCTTTTTAGAAACGAGAGAGCCGGAGTACTGTGGGACTGTCCAGTGTCCCCCTGAATATTAGCAGCCCAGACTCTAGGTCTGCTGGCCAGGCCACAGAGGAAGACAACAATTTCCTGTGCTTTACCTCTCTCTGGGTGGCAGTTAGAGGATTTGCCCATGATGCTTTTCAGTTATCGTCTGCTTAGAAATTTAGAAAGAAGCAGAAACTCTCTTCGTGGCCTTCATTTATAGAAACAGCTGAAGACAATCATGTGTTTATATAAAAGAGTGTGTGTGTGTGTGTGTGTGTGTGTGTGTGTGTGTGTGTGCCCGCACATGTGCAGATGGGTACACATGGAGACCAAAGGGCAACACTGGGGTGTCTTCTGCTATTACTCTCTGACTGATTTATTTTATTTATTTATTTATTTATTTATTTATTTATTTATTTATTTTTGGACAGGGTCCCTCACTGAATCTGAGCTTTGCTGATTCCACTAGATTGACTGGCCATAAATCCCTGGAACCTTCCTATACCCAGCTTTTCCCAGGAGTGCTAGGGCTCTGAATTCAGGTTCTCATGCTTACATGGCAAACATTTCCCCGGCTGAACCATCTTCCCAACTGTGCCACCATTAAAATCTGTGTGATAGAGAGATGCCATCCACTGGGCACTCCTACCTTCATCACATCTGCTCCCTTTCAGGCACTCAGCAGGGCCAACGTTCTGACTCAGCAAGGTCCACAAAGCATAAAGCATGGGTAAGGAAGGACAATAGGGGGACTGGGTACCCCAACTCCTTCCCTTCATTTCTCCCTGGCCGGGGCAGGGGGGCGGAGCCAAATGGCAGACTCTCCCTAAACCACCTCCTTAGCCTCTCCAAACTAGTTCATCTAAATTGTAAATGTTGTCCTTCGTCATGGGCCACCGTGTACAGTCACATGAGGTGCCCTGAGCTGACAAGTGTGGGAGCCTCTTTCAAGTCCACAGTTTTCGAGGAAGGCAAATCACTCAAGCTAGAAGGTCCCAACAATGTGACAAATGCTAACTACAGTCCAACTAGGGCTGGCATGTGGTCTATAAGACCCCACAGGAGAGGAGTCAGCAAGATAAATGACTGGCACCTGTGATGTCACCCTCACCTGACCCTCCCAGGCAGGTGCGGTCACTGGAGAAAGAAATGCAGGCATGATTGGATCTCAAGAATTCTAGCTTCAAATCCCACACTGTTGTTTAAGCCACCAGCTCCAGAGGCATCCAAGGGACATCAGACAATAAGATAGCAGAGTCAGATCCCAGAAGCCCTGACCATCACACCAAGCTATTTAGACAGGTGTAGCGCCTTGGGTAAACTGGTTAAAAGTTTGCTAACTTATCATACACCATGTCTGCGAATCACTGGACAGAGGGAGACAGCCCGAGGAGCACAATAAAAAGCAGAGACTGCACCAGGGCCCCAGACACCTAAGGATCAAGGTTATTCCCAAGCTTTTGAAGGAGGTAGAGCTGCTCCCCGGGGAGGAAGCAAAATGCAGGCTCTTGGGGCTTCCAGCCTTTAGCTTTGCAGGGAATGCAAGGCCAGCACTCTGCAGTTCTTCCCTGCCCACACTCACCCAGGGCAGCACAGGCCAGCAGGGCGCCCACGGCGGACCTCATCCTCCCGGTGTGTGTGTGGCGAGGAGCGGGGAGCACAGACCAACCCGCTTCTGCACCGCCTCTCTGTGACCCGCTCCCCTTTATGGCCGGAGGGGGACGGCTGGGTGCAATCTTTGACCTCCAGTGTTTGCACAGCCCAATTGCCCAATCGCTCTCATCCACCCCCTTCCTTTCTTGCCCTGATGATCACCTCATTTCCTGAGCTGTGAGACAGAACTGCGAATCCACCACCACAAAGAAGTGGGGGGGGGGGGGGAGCTGTTTAGAAGAAGGCCTAAAGCAAAATCCACTCTTTGTTATCACTGCTCTCTCGGTGCCAGGAGCGGCATGGCTACAGCCGCTTGGGCGGGAGTGGCTTCTTCCCGAACCCCTGGTGCCAGAACTGTGTGCCAGCAGCTTCATTAGCCTTACACAAGGGGAGACTGAGGCTGGGGAGAGAAAGGAACTGCCCTGGACTAGAACCCGAGAAGGAACATAAAGAGAGGAAAGTTAGGCTCTGCTTAGAGAGGCAGTACCGCTGTTCGCAGGTTAGCAGGTTATCCTGGGAACACCCCAAGACCGCTCTCTCTCTCCACCCTGCCAGGCAGAGCCTGCTCTGAGGCTGAAAGGGTCCCGCCCCCTGAGCTTCTGGTGGGACAAGGCAGGCTAAGGAACAGTCACCGAGGCATGAAACTCTCCCTCTGCTAGGAAGCGGCAAACTGTGGGAGTCAGAACAAAGCGCCATGCAAGCACAGAGACCAGCCCGAGAGGATGCCTCCAACCCGTCCCCATTCCTCTCTGATTACTTTTAAGTAGCATGCTTTTGCCACGAAGATATTGTGCTTGCACCCTACATCTGTGCTATTTTCACTATAACTACAATTGTGCATTTCAACCCTGTACATGGACTGGAAAATTGTCAATCAATGAAGTAAAAATAAAATAGGCATTTGAAAATGTCCCTCTGGGTATATCAGCTCATATACTATCTCAGGACGCAATATACACCCAGGAAAAGGTCAAGGAGCAATGGGCAAAATGTAAACCCAGATTTCAAGACCGCCAAACGAATTTAGGATTTTCAAAACCCAGTTCTTCTTCAGTTTAATCAAGATGTTGTTCACTGTGGTCTTCAGGGACCTTGTCAAGTCTGTAAGGTGGAGGTATTAAAGCGCCCATGTCAGGCTGTGGAAGAGCCAGGTGAAGCTCCCAGCAAGTCCCAGCCATTGCTAAGGTGCACGTGGGGACCCTGAATGTGCACAGCGTCTCCGCTGTAGAACTAAACTCATAGCTGAGGACACAGATGCAGATGTCTGGGGCCACCAAGGACACAACGCCCTGTGATGCCATGCTGCCACCCCCACATAGCCCTATAGACACACACAGGCCTGAGCCTCCCATGCAACACGGCCATCCTCATGGCTTGGCTTGTCCTTTCAACTCCTCAAGACTGTCAGACACAGGCACAGAGTTCTGCCGTCGCCCTTCTCCTGTGCAAGGATCAATAGCCTGTACCTCTTCCCCAGGAGTGGGAAGGTGATGTGGGTCTCCTTCACATGCTAGCCTCCACCTCTCTGTCAGTATCCAGGCATCTGTACTGGCCTGCCTTTGCAGCTGTGACAGGATACACCCTCAGCTCCTGTCTCTGAGAGTATCACTTCCCTATGTTCCCTTTTAAAAGTGCCCTGCCCATCACCTATCCCTCTTCCTTTTCCTTTCTCCCCCTCATCCCTCCTTTCTCCTCTCTCGCTCTCTCCTCTCCTCTTTCTCCATTCTGTCCCCCCTCCTGTCTCTCTCTCTCCTGTCTCCCCTGTCTCTCCTCTCTCTCCTCTGGTCTCCTCTTTTCCACTGCTCCTGTCCCTGGAGGCTGGCCTCCCCCTTCCCTTTCCCCTTTTTAAGATCCTTTCCCCCTAATAAGAAACCCCTCTGCTTGAACTCTGTTGCATGGTGTCTTTCTCGAGTTGCTTTTTTTTTTTTTTTTAAATGACAACACTCTCCACCAGGAGTGGGAAGAAGTAAGTCTGCTTCATACTTTAGCTGATGGAGAGCTCATGCCAGGCCCAGTCAACAGGCTAATCTGGCTGCTTTGGTTTTGTGCTGTGGTTCTTAGGAATACAAACAGGAGACTTTCCCCAGTGTGATTCCAGTCTCTGACAGGAATGTTTTAAAGGTACATGCATGTCTTGTGAGAGAGAAAGTCACATTTTCTTATTTTATTTATTGTGCACACATGTATGCATGTCAAAGCACAAGCACACATGTGCCATGGGTCACAATGTGAAGGTCAGAGGACAACTTTCAGGGGTCAGTTTTGTCCGTCCACTGTGGAGGTTCTGGAGAGCACATTCAAGTGGCCAGGTTGAAATCTGTGTTGCTTGCTGAGCCATCTCAGGAACCCAAAGGTCAAATGTTCTAATCTAACACTCATGTAACTGGACACACAAAAACCTTAAACATGGAAACAAAAATGCCCAAAACAAAAGACAGGGACAGGGTGCCGCAAACACCCAGTACTCCTCTCCCTTTCCCAGCCTTTGTTGAGAGGGCCCCCATCTTCCTTCAGGATACATCAGAGGCTCGAGATCACAGATTACTGTCCAGCCTATGGACCCAGGTGAGGAGACAGGGCCAACTCCCACACTGAGCACAAGCGCTAGCAATAACTGTTGCTAAGCCAGTGAATGGTCTCCGTGGAAAGGATTTACACACCAGCTGCTTTAGAGACCATTGATCTAACAAGGGTTTCAGCAGAGATGTGAGACAAATGTGTGCATCACAAGAGGGGTAGAGAAGCTGCTGCTGCTCTGGGTTCTGTCCCCTGACCTCTCATGGCACCTTATGCAGGAAGGTTATAGTCCCATCGCCACCCCAAGGCAGACATTAATTAGGATGTAGTCTAGGTTCATCTGACTCTTGAAAGTTAGGGACATGAAGATGCCCGGAAGCAGGAGGGGGAATTGTGAGGTGTTGAATGTGAGACACAAACTCAGGGATGCTCAGAGCAGGGCACGGAAGATACAGAAAATGACTATCCCTCCTTCATCCTTTGCTATGCCCATAACCATCCCCAAGCTACTCCCCCAGCCACAGGCCTACAGCCTTGCCTTAGCCAAATCTCTGCTCTCACTGGGTCCTCACCAAACCAGCCACCCAGAGACCCTGCTTCAGAGGGATCCTCTGTGGCCAAGCCCAGAGAGGAGCACAGGACATGGAGGTGGTTCCAGTGTGACATGGGTACCTAGAGCTACCATCTCATCCACACATACCTGGCAGAGAGGTCTAGGATTGGTTCTTGCTGAGGAGAAGCCCTGTGTCTGTCATTCTTCAGAGGGGAGGTGGGCAAAGGCTGCTTTTGGGGTGTACATGTGAATACAACCCTGGTTTTATTGGGTGTCCAGGTCTATGTATGTCTGTACAGTGTGTGGGGGATGGCATCATAGTGCTCTGTGTTCTTGGTGGCTCCTGGCACTTGTATCTGTGCCCTCATTTGTGTATTTAATTCTAACCACAGTCCCTCAGGACACCCATTGTTCCCTTGGACACCTTAACAATGGCCAACACTTTTATGGGGCCTCAGAGACCTCTTACTACAGTCCCTGGTATTGGCGTGTGAGAATCTCCATCTAGATGTGGCAAGGAAACCATTTGGCAAGTGCCTTGCCAAAGTTCAGTGGTAATGACAAGATGTGACATCGGCCAGACTGCATGTTAACTAGTCAACCAGGGACACAGCTTCTTCCAGCAAAGCAGGATGTAAGGAAGCCAAGAAGGCTCCTCTCTGTGGTCACACTAAGGGGGTGACAGACATGTATGGACTCCAGCCCTACCTTTTTCCCACAGACATTCCCCCACCTCACTCCACCCCTGCTACCAACTCTGCCCTCTGAGGACCGGGTCAGTCTTGAAGAGGAATGAGCGTCTGCCTACAGACCCTCAGATGAGGCTGCCCAGGTTGTGCCTAGTTGCATGGAAAGCCTAGTGTTAGCCCTTGCACATTCCAGGCTCTGTTCTGGGGCGAGGGTCTGTTCGCAAGCTTTGGAAGTGGAATTCAGAACTCTTAATGCTAGCTGCTTTCTTAATATTTGATCTCTGTATTTAGAAAGGGTAATAAAAAAAGGAGAGAAGAAGGAGAGAGGTTGAGGAGTAAAAGGTGGCCTCTAGTTTCAGACCAACCCACTCGTGACCCAAATTGTGTACCACAGAGTAAACCCTTCCATCTCAGCCACAGAGCTGGCTTTCTGGTAGAAACAGCTGAAGCTGTGTGTACGTGCAGGGGAGTCTGGGCTGCAGCCCAGATGGGGGTGGGCAGGAAGGCAGTGGGCCTCTGAACCAATATTTGCTGTTTACAAATGTTGCCCAATTTTCATAGAAACTGAGCAAACAAAGAGCTTCTGTCTGCTTCAAGCATTCCTCCCTCTCCCCACAGTGTCCTCTGCCCCAAGCTGGAGCCTTCCTTCTCTGAAATCTCGGAACTGGGTCATCTTGGGGAAGGGGTAACCTGGAAGCCTGAGAAGTGAAACCCACAAAGCCAGTCATTGCCGGCCTGCTGGGTCAGGGAATGTGAGGAAGGCAGGAGCTGGAGCAGGCACCTCATGGGAAACTGGCATTGGGAGGTGGCATGTGACACCTCCCCTCCCACCCCACCCCACCCCACCCCCGTCTCCCCTCCCTCTGTGTATCCTCTCTCTCAGAAGTCACAGGACAATGGAAGGCTTTTATTCTTTTCCCATCAGAGACAACAAAAATAGCCTCCTGGTAAACAGTAACAGTCCATGGCCAGGGGGACTTGGTATTCAATCCAACAACCACTACAGTCTTGCATACTCCTCCTGGGAACCAAGTCTAGGAGAGTCCGGATAATGTTTCAAGAACAAAATATATACATTTTGAAAGAAAAAAAAATCAATAAAGACATCATGGCAAACACAAAAGATGCAAAAATCCTATACAAAAAAAAAAAAAAAAAATCACAAACAGGGCTGGGAAGTGGCTCAGTTGGTAGAGCGCTTGCCTAGCATGCATGAGGCCCTGGGTTTGATCCCCAGCACTGCATAAATATGGGCTTGGACACACACCAGTAAACCTCACAAGGAGGAGGCAGCAGGACCAGACGTTGACTACATAATCAGTGCCAGGCCAGTCTGGGTCATATGGAAACATCTCAAAAGAAAAACAAACACATCACAAATAGAATCCACTAAAATACAATAGGGATAAAAATGATTACTCAATTTGATTTATCTAGGAATGCAAATTATCTTTCGAAGCATCAGTTAATATAATTGAGTAAATCAGTCTAATAGTGGAGGAAATTAATGACCATATCTGTCCGTATCAGAACATCATTTATACAGTTCAACAGCCATACGTAATGAAAGGTTCCTAGCAATCTTGCTCCTTGATTTGATAAAGGGTATTTAACAAAGATCTACAGATCTCCTGCTTCGTGGTGGAATGTGAATAAAATCTTTCTCTTTGAGAGCAAGAAGGGTACTAAAACACCCACTACTCCGTTCCCACTCACCATTGTAGCTGGAGGTCTAAGCCAGACCTCCAGGCAAGGGAAAGAAAAAAGAAGCCAAAGGACTGAAAAACAACAAAAAACAAAAAACACCCTACCTTTATATATGGCTTAATCGCATATACATAAAATTCTAAATACGTTTATTTTATATAGTAGGACGAATGGGCTAAGAAATATCAGGATGCAAGGTAAATTATACAAAACCAACTCATATCTACATACAAAATCTAGAAAGTGAATAATTCTACCTAAAGGACAAACAAATGCATATGAACAAAGACATCTGGGTTGTCATTCACTGAATGACTAAATATTATTGAGCAAAATAAACTTGAGGTAAGTGGGAAACTATTCCCTGAATGTGAAGTAGAAGCACCAGCACTATGAAGGTCTCAATTCTCTCCAAATTGATTTGTAGATGAAAGTGGAGGTGGGGGCATATTGGGAGTTAAAGGGTTAATCAGGTGTGGGACATGCGAACAGGAGCTAGGAGGAAATGATGGGTGACTAAAACCAAAGGTGAATGAAAAACTCCGTGGAAACCAACTACTTTGTAAGCTAATTAAAAATGCATAACTTAAAAAAAAGGAGGTGTTATTAAATGAAGATCTTATTGCCAGATGTAGAATCCCTCTCTATGAATCATTTGGTCAAAAAGGCCCTCAAAACAGCATGGGCTGTTTGATTATACAAAATATTAGATGATAAGATTCTACTGCTGAAAACTGGTGTCAGGACATCGAGCAATCACGCTCAGACTGACCTGAAAACTTCCTTCCTGCTGGCTAGCTTTCGTAGTGCTAGGTGCCGGGGAGAAAATCATCGGTGTGTATTACCTAGCAGTGAACCCTGGATGCTCCAATATTGACCTGCCAGGCAAGATATGCCACAGATGTAATAGTGGCATTAAGATTATGGTGGCAACAAGCTACTTTCTGATTGGCTTGAGGTCTCCACAGAAGGGAATTCGTTCTTCATATGAATTCCCTGGCCAAAAGTTCAGAAGGTTGCGGACTGTAGTGGGAATGTACTACTGTTGTTTTCCTAAATGAACGTGTCAGGCTGCCTTTTAAGGCCTGTGGGATGCCTCAGCCATCAAAGGCGCTTGCCATCAAGCCTGACAACCTAAGCTTGATCCCCAAGACTCCGCTGGAAAAAGGAGAGAGCCCCAAGTTGTACCCTGTCAACACAGGATGCACATGCACATACACAATGAATGAATGAATGAACAAATGAAAGTTTAAAAAATTTAAAAAACAAAACACTGCCTTCTAAATAGTGATGTTTATCCCCATAGGTCAGTGCTGCTCTCAACTTTGGCCAGGAAAGCCTCTTTGTGCACTGGGCAACAGTTGATACAGAGACTCATGACTGGTTAAAGTGCCAAGAATGAGGGACCCTGAATGGGGCATTTGTATCAATCCTCTCTCCCAGGACTTAGTGAACACGGCGAAGATGGGGCACGAAATACCATCTTCTGGACATGACATGGCTGTTGGGCTCATGAGCTCACCAAAACTGTGGGTGCCTGTGTGCAATCTGCATGTGAGAAAGCCAGAACCTCAGCCCACTTTCTGACAGGCAACATTAGCTACTCAGTGAGTTATAAGATAATACTAGTAAATAAGAAGGCGAAGACATGCAGGCGATGGCAAGGAGAGAATATGTTGGGGGTATGGAGGAGGAGTGGGAGAGAGGAGGTGGGAATTGCAATGATCGAGATACATTGTGAACGTGTATGAAACTGTCAAAGAATAAATAAAAGGCATTACTTTAAAATGATTTATAGAGTCTAGCACTCTGAATACTTGCAATCAAAAAGACCTACTTGTATATTTTTGGTGTAGATTGACAGTACATTTCTACAGCTCACCTACAAATACAAAATTCTCCATGCATTTGTCGGTTATGCAAGGTAAGGCAAACAAGAATAGTAGCATTGATTTTTTTCTGACCCTCTTACCCAACCCTGCACCAAGACATATATCGTAATCATTGAGTTGGTTGAATTCAGGTGTGGATTGTGCATGTAATTACGTAAATGTGTTTTCCAAGTGATCTTGGACTAATGGCTTTGAAAGAAATGGCACAGGCAACCATATTCTTTTTTAAAAATATTTTGTATACTTTTTGAGATGCTAATTAGATCCTTTCTCCCTTCCCTTTCCTCCCTTCAAACCTTCTAGTGTACCCTTCCTTGCTCTCTTTCAAATTCATGACCTCTCTTTTTCACTAATGGTTGTTACATACATAATGCATTTCGCATATGTCCCTAGACACATACATACAGCCTGCTCGCTCAGTCTGTATATTACTTGTACGTATGTTTTCAGAGCTGACTGGACATTTAGTATTGGATAACAAGTTGGTGTGCTCTGCCCTAGGGAGGACTATTTCTCCTGCTCTCGGCGCTCCTTGGTTGCCTGTTGTTCTTTGTATGAGGGTGAGGACTTGTGGGCTTTCCTCGGCCATGTTAGCGTGTCTATTGTCCTTGCTTGTCACATTCTTAAAAGTGTGTGCCTACATATCACCAAAATGGATAATCACTGCTCTCACCCCAACTTCTACACTAGGAAGTAAAATAAACTTCTGATTTGACTTCTGTGGTGTAAAGTCCCTTCAGATACTTTCTTCTCCTTCCTTCATAGGAGAGTTTTCAAACAAACACAAAAGTAAACACCGGCAAACAACCCCCGGTTCCGACAATGTCCATTTTATTTCACCTGTCCTCCCTCCCTTTTTTTTCTGAAGTGTCAATTATCATATTTTCTGCAGTATGCAATCTATCTTTAGCATGTACGAATTTTTACATAACAATACCAACACATCTATAGAAATCAATAATTATTTCCATCTATTTACTAATATTCAAAATTAGTTTATTTACTTGTTATTTGTGTTTGCACGTGTGTACATGCACTTGCTCGCAAGCACGCCTTGAGGTCACAGGACGGCTTTGAGAGCTGTTTCCTTCCTTCTACTAAAGGCTTTGAGGGACTCTTGGTTGTCAGACATGAAGGGAAGATCTCTTACCTGCTGAGCTGTACCAGCCCCCCTACTACCCAGTCAACATACAAATTCCTATGTTGAACTACAAGAAAATTAAATTAGATGCTCAAAGTAGATCCTAACTGAGATCTCCATGCTACATGTGTCTATTGAGATCCACATGCTATGTGGGTTCTATTATTTCCTGAATCTCTTTTGCTCTAAGGTGATCACCTGCACTTTATGCTGTTTACATGAGAAACCAGATCTTTGCCCTGTGGAATTTCCAGTGTTCTGGATTTGATTGATCTGTGTCACGATTGTGGGATTTAACCCGCTTTTTTGGTATTTGACAGCTATTTTTGGGGAAAGTCCCTTGATCTGGGTTTTTCTGGAATTACTTCATCATGAGACTTTGAGTTCCTGATTTTGGCAATGACCTTGAAGAGGTGACATTGTATCGAATGGCACAGGCTGCCATGGTGACTTGTTGCCTTGCTGAGCTGTTAACTGTTTGCTGGTCATGGTGTCTGGTAGCTGTTACCACTACAGATCCCTGCTTTTCTGATTTTCAGCTAGTAAGAAATCTACAAAGAGATACCTTTAGACTATCATGTTTTGTTTTTCCCCCGTGGGTCTTAGCATTCGTTAGTGATTCTTGCCAGAACGAATTGGTGTTGCAGTGGTTACCAAGTGTTCATTCTCTGAGCTCCCCCCCTCGAGATGTATTGATTAGCATCCTAAAGTAAGGAAAATACCTGTACCTATTTTGCATCCCCTCTGTGTGTATGTGCTTTTCCACTCTTTCTATCTTCCTCTCAGTTAAGCCACAGCATATGTTGTAGTTGTAGTTGTCTTCTCTCCATCCTTGCGGGGAGAGCTCCATGCAATTGGACCATAACCAACATTCTAGTTGTCTCCCTCCCCTTTCTACCGCTGAGAACTGGGTCCTTTCATTCTGCCCCCCCCCAACCTCCTTTCTCATTGCTTCTGCTCATCATCCATATCCTTACCCTCCAGATGCCTCCACAAACTCAGGCTCTTAGGCTCTTCAGCCCCAGCCACTCAAGGAGAGGAGAAGGGAGAAAATGAGTCTACTTTTGTTATTGCTGTTGTTTGTTTCTAGTAAAAGCGACTGGAGAAAGAAAGGGACAGGGACAAGGGAGGAGAAGATGTATCATTTTCTTCATGGTACACAGAGGACTGTGAAGAGCAGAGGCTATATTTCAGAATGAAGATCCAAGCAGAGACTCACAAAACCTTCCAAAGAAGCAAAGCTGGTGGGGTTTGGGGGTGGGGGTGGTTCATTGTGCTGTGGTTAGCTGGAAGAGGCCGGCTCTGTTTGTGAAAAGCCTGAGACATCATTCTGCAAGTGAGGACCTGTTAAGAAAATTCCTTTCCTTGTTTGGTACAACGTTCAACCCAGCCTAGCTCTACCTAACCCCCAAACCAACACCTAGAGAGGTCACCGACCCTGGAATTGAGTGGACTTCGTGAAGTCTCATGTGCAAAGGAACAAAAGTCCCTGACCAAAGGCGGG